TGGGCAAACAATGATTTTCTAAAATACTAAAACTTGTAAGGGGTTAACCTTGCATTTGAAGCAAAATTGGGCAAAAGTTGATTTCTCTCACAATTTAAAACTTGTAAGGGGTTAACCTTGCATTTGAATCAAAATTGGGCAAAAGTTGATTTTTCAGAAAACGAAAAATTGTAAGGGGTTAACCTTGCATTTGAATCAAAATTGGGCAAAAGTTGATTTTTCTGAAAAAGGAAAAATTGTAAGGGGTTAACCTTGCATTTGAAGCAAAATTGGGAAAACAATGATTTTCTAAAATACTAATAATTGTAAGGGGTTAACCTTGCATTTGAATCAAAATTGGGCAAAAGATGATTTTTCTGAAAAGGTAAAAATTGTAAGGGGTTAACCTTGCATTTGAATCAAAATTGGGCAAAAGTTGATTTTTCTGAAAAATTAAAAATTGTAAGGGGTTAACCTTGCATTTGAAGCAAAATTGGGCAAAAGATGATTTTTCTGAAAATTAAAAATTGTAAGGGGTTAACCTTGCATTTGAATCAAAATTGGGCAAAATTGATTTTTCTGACAAAGTAAAAACTGTAAGGGGTTAACCTTGCAATTGAAGCAAAATTGGGCAAAAGTTGATTTTTCTGAAAAAGTAAAATCTGTAAGGGGTGAACCTTGCATTGGAAGCAAAATTGGGCAAAAGATGATTTTTCTTACAAATTGTAAGGGGTTAACCTTGAATTTGAAGCAAATTGGACAAATTAGATTTTACTTAAAAATTAAAACTTGTAAGGGGTTAACCTTGCGTTTGAAGAAACATTGGGCAAAAGATGATTTATCTTAAAAACTTTAAAATTGAGAGGCGTAAACCATGCATATGAATCAACATTGGGCAAAATATGATTTTTCTGAAAATTAAAAATTGTAAGGGGTTAACCTTGCATTTGAATCAAAATTGGACAAACTGTGATTTTTCTTACACATTTAAAAATGTAAGTGGTTAACCTTGCATTTGAAGCAAAATAGGGCAAAATATTTTTCTTTAAAAAAAAGTTAAATTGTAAGGGGTAAACCTTGCATTTGAAGCATAATTTGAATTTTCTGAAGAGTTTATTTTTCTTACAAGTTAAAAATTGTAAGGGGTTAACCTTGCATTTTGAAGCAAAATTGGGCAAACAATGATTTTCTAAAATACTAATAATTGTAAGGGGTAAACCTTGCATTTGAAGCAAAATTGGGCAAAAGTTGATTTCTCTCACAATTTAAAACTTGTAAGGGGTTAACCTTGCATTTTTGAAGCAAAATTGTGCAAACAATGAATTTCTAAAATACTAAAACTTGTAAGGCGTAAACCTTGCATTTGAATCAAAATTGGGCAAAAGTTGATTTTTCTGAAAAAGCAAAAACTGCATTTGAAGCAAAATTGGGCAAAAGTTGATTTCTCTCACAATTTAAATCTTGTAAGGGGTTAACCTTGCATTTGAATCAAATTTGGGCAAAATTTGATTTTTCTGAAAAAGTAAAAACTGTAAGGGGTTAACCTTGCATTTGAAGCAAAATTGGGCATAAGTTGATTTTTCTGAGAACGAAAAATTGTAAGGGGTTAACCTTGCATTTGAATCAAAATTGGGCAAAAGTTGGTTTTTCTGAAAACGAAAAACTGTAAGGGGTTAACCTTGCATTTGAATCAAAATTGGGCAAAAGTTGATTTTTCTGAAAAAGCAAAAACTGTAAGGGGTTAACCTTGTAATTGAAGCAAAATTGGGCAAAAGTTGATTTTTCTGAAAAAGTAAAAACTGTAAGGGGTGAACCTTGCATTTGAAGCAAAATTGGGCAAACAATGATTTTCTAAAATACTAAAACTTGTAAGGGGTTAACCTTGCATTTGAATCAAAATTGGGCATAAGTTGATTTTTCTGAAAAAGGAAAAATTGTAAGGGGTTAACCTTGCATTTGAAGCAAAATTGGGAAAACAATGATTTTCTAAAATACTAATAATTGTAAGGGGTTAACCTTGCATTTGAATCAAAATTGGGCAAAAGATGATTTTTCTGAAAAGGTAAAAATTGTAAGGGGTTAACCTTGCATTTGAATCAAAATTGGGCAAAAGTTGATTTTTCTGAAAAATTAAAAATTGTAAGGGGTTAACCTTGCATTTGAAGCAAAATTGGGCAAAAGATGATTTTTCTGAAAATTAAAAATTGCAAGGGGTTAACCTTGCATTTGAATCAAAATTGGGCAAAATTGATTTTTCTGAAAAAGTAAAAACTGTAAGGGGTTAACCTTGCAATTGAAGCAAAATTGGGCAAAAGTTGATTTTTCTGAAAAAGTAAAAACTGTAAGGGGTGAACCTTGCATTGGAAGCAAAATTGGGCAAAAGATGATTTTTCTTACAAATTGTAAGGGGTTAGCCTTGAATTTGAAGCAAATTGGGCAAAAGTTGATTTTTCTGAAAAATTAAAACTTGTAAGGGGTTAACCTTGCGTTTGAAGCAACATTGGGCAAAAGATGATTTATCTTAAAAACTTTAAAATTGAGAGGCGTAAACCATGCATATGAATTAACATTGGGCAAAATATGATTTTTCTGAAAATTAAAAATTGTAAGGGGTTAACCTTGCATTTGAATCAAAATTGGACAAACTGTGATTTTTCTTACACATTTAAAAATGTAAGTGGTTAACCTTGCATTTGAAGCAAAATTGGCAAAACTTGATTTTTCTGAAAAAAAGTAAAAGCTGTGAGGAGTTGACCTTATATTTGAAGTAAAATTGGGAAAAAGTCGATGTTTCTGAAAACTTACAAAGTGTCAGTGGTTAACCTTGCATTTGAAGCAAAATTTGGCAAAAGTAAATTTTTCTAAAAAATTAAAAATTGTGAGGGGTAAACCTTGCATTTGCAGCAAATTGGGCAAAAATTGATTTCTCTTACAAATTAAAACTTGTAAGGGGTTAACCTTGCATTTGAAGCAACATTGGGCAAAAGATGATAATTGATTCTGACCATCCAAAACTACAAGGGTTTTAGATCTCCTCAGAGAAACTGCATCCTACATTGTACCACCACCGTTGAAATTCACACCAGAGAAAGACGAATTCAAATGTATTCACCCATTCCTCCATTAGCCTTTTTGAAATATGGCATTGGACAATGGGAGGATTTTAGATCTTCTCAGAGCGAGGGCATCCTACATCGTACCACCAACATTTGAATATAAAATCAGCTAAGTGCACACCAGAGAAGGAAGAATTGAATTTGTTTTACCGATTCCTACATTAGTCTTTTCGAAATATGGCGTTGACAATAGGACATTATCAATGGGTGGCATGGGTGGCTAGTGCGTAAAGCGCTCACCTCTCATCAATATGGCATGGGTTCGGAGTGCTGTGGCCTCGTGGTTAAGGATTCGTGGTCTGTGGGTAAAGCTGCGGGTTGTGGGTTCGAGTCCGGCCAGGGTCATCGTTTGTGTGCCCTTGGGCAAGGCACTTTGTCACTCATTGCTTCTCTTCACCCAGGAGTAAATGGGTACCTGTGAGGGCAGAGATGGTTATTGTGATTGAATTAGCTTCCTTGCGCCTAACAGGCTGCATCAAGCTGTGTACTCCCCAGGGAGCTGAGATGGTATTTGGAATGTTTAATTGGCCCAATGATCAGGGGTAATAATAATACTGTAAGCGCTGTGATTTAGTTTACTAATCAGAGCGTTCTGAAATGCTGATTATTAATATTATTATGGGTTCAATTCCCAGCTAGGACCATATGCAAGTAGAGTTGGTCGTTGGTTCTCTCCTGTGCCACGAGGGTTTTTCTCCAGGCTCTTGGGTTTTCCTCCCTCTGGAAAACTCAACACTTTCGATCTCTGGCTGTACTCCGTGGTCAGAAATGGCGGCTGCCTAAGGCGCCTTTACATGCCTTCGGCTTGACCACGTTGTAGCCGCGTCCTTCGCAATTCAGATTCTCAGCTGCGAGTAAGGATGATTAGCCTCCCAAATTATTGTTATTAAACGTACACATTCAATTAATGTTTTTCTGTAGGGGTTGACGTTTTATTTCAAACAGACATGTTTTACAATATCAACAAAAACATATGGCAATTGCATGCACACATTACAAAATGAACTAGCAGCAAATGGGTCTGTACATTTACATATGTTTTCTAGAAAGTCAAACTAAATCCTTCATAAATGCTGCACATTTCCCCCCCCCCCACCCCACTTTTCCTAATTCATCCAAACTTAGTGGAGATGAGCACATCAAGCAGCCAAAGTTACTCCATCAAAAAAAGACGGAGAACTTGGAATTTCCATGCAGCATAATGTATGTGCAACTTTGTCTATTTCCTGGTAAAAACATTCCAACAATTTTAAAACATGATTAATTGTTCATCAGTCAGAACAATTTTCCAGGGTCTAAAATGTTAAACTTATTTGAAATTGCCTGCACTTAAAAACTTTTACATATGTACAAAAGAGCTATCACATGATTACATTTTCTGATACATTGGAAGAAGAATTAAATGGGGAATTTTTTCTCCTTAATGTTCTACTAAAATTTAAAAAAATCAGATGTCTGGTGAATATTACATACTTACCCAGTAAGAAGATAAATACTAACAAAAACAAGAACAATAAATGTAATATTTTTTTTTACATAACATGAAAAGGAAATTGGATGAAGCCGTATACTTATCTAACTCAATGATTGACTATTTAAACAATTTGTAACAAACAAATTCGTAAAATACAAGCTGTATCCTCTCTGAGTGATCCCCGTTTGTTATTTCCCATGTTAGCAGCATTGTTAATGTTGCTAGCATCGTGACTTTGGGCGTGATCCCTGGCTACATGGCATATACAGGTTTATGGCTTCTGACTAGCGCCCCTTGAACAAAATGGTGAACCGCCAACTACAGGCATGCAACTGGGAATTTATAAAAAACGAGGAAATTCCAAACCACACAAGACTTTGTTCAGTGTTTTTCAATTTGTAATGGCATTTATGAGAAGTAAAAAACGACGAAATCAGCGGATCCGAGGAAAAGTTGCATGCCTGCAGCTATGATCTACGCGCATGTACGCTTACTCAGGAATGGCCTATTCATGTTGGGAACACGATGGGAACACACCGCGTTACATACGGAACGGGAACGTTCCGACTTTTGCGACATTCCCTTACCATACTATCGGAAGACCTTAACAGGGCAATAATTTGAAAGTGTTTTCTCAAAAACGTGAACAAACACTTGGATAGAACAAACCTACTAGGCCGTCCCTACATTTTGTTTATAAAAAAATCCCCCACTGGTAAGCCCTTTATTGGTCAAATTAACATATCAAAAATCAACGTAAAGTCTAGAAAACATGTAGATTTTTATTTTTTATAAATTCTAGATATTTTTTTAAATGAGAAGTAACATTTTTATAAAAGTATGTTACTAAAAGTTTTAATGATAGCGGGTGAACATTTACAACTTCAGTTTTTGTAACAAAATATTTTTTCAAACTTTTCTCATAATCAAGCGTTTACAAGAAAGGTTTGAAGCGATAATAAAAATACTTTTGACACCAAAAAATACTTTCATAAAATATCTACTTGATAATTGTGTAAAAAAACATGTACCAAAAATGGCAGCTCGCACGCAAACAAATTAATAGCATATGTAGTAATTATACACAATTTTTTTTGTATATATAAAAACAATTTTAGTCAAGAATAATATCTAACAGACAAATCTAACAGACAGATTGTAGATTTTTGTTAAAAACAGACTGTAGAGTTGGGGTATCAATTGTCATCTGATCTTTTGGATGAAAGTCTCTATCTGAGGTAACGCCATTAATAAAAAAAATATTTCCAAGGCTCACAATTGTAGCTGTTACATTTGGAAGACTTATGAACAGCGCCCCCTAGCTTCATGCTTAGTAAGGATACGCAGACACTGAGATGAAGATGATGTGTCTTGAGGCATACTGGAAGACGTTACGCGCATCGTAGACCGAGGCTTTGACTGTCAACTTGTATTGTTTAGGCTCATCCAATGTGGAGGTAGTCGCCACGAACGTCTTGCCGTTTTCCCGACGTATTCTGAAAGGCATGATGCAATTGCAGTACTGTGGATAAAGAAAACAAATGAGCCTAATGTTAATTTCAAACAGTTATAAATTGAGCATTAAAATGTGACCAAAATGTTTTTCAAAATATGTACTTCAAAGTTGTTGGAATAACCAAAAACGTAAAGATCTTTAGCTCTGTCATTCAAGATGTTGATATGAACTAACTAGTAGACTCCAGCAACGTTTGTGGTTGAATGGTTAAGACCTCTGCACTAATGAGCAGGAGGTCGTGGGTTCGAGTCCACCTCAGTAAGCTTGTGAATTATCAGGCAAGCTACCAGACAGCGATGAGTGTACAGTGTGTATAAAGTTACAGCAATAAAAAACAACGCCCAAGGCCAAAAAAAAAAAGTCTCCGGTTCCTGGTATGGAGCTTGCCCAAAAAATGATGTGGCGACACGGCTTTTTTTTTTTTTTACCTGTTTTTTTTTGCTTCAAATGTGTGCTGAAGACTGCAAATGGTGCCCGACTAAACTTAGTGCAAATATATGGGAGTCCAGAGAGGCAACATAAAGCTTATTCTCGACTATAACCCAATCTAAAAACCCGTTAAAATTGTGCAGCAGCAGGATTCCAGTCAAACCAGTGAGTTTGGCGGTTTTGAGATATCATCTTTCATTGAAAAAAAAAACTTTTTCATTTTGCCGACGCGCATGGCTACGGCGACGCGCGCGCATACCAGAAACCGGAGACTTTTTTTTTGGCCCAACTTATTCACAGCTTTTTTTCTTGAACTGTTCAAAAAATAGGAAAACTACGGGCTCATATTTCCCCCCTAGTTTTTCTTAATAATAGTTGCTTACTTCTTGTGATCCTCTGACGTCAATGATGGTGAAGTAGACGTTATCCTCAGCCCTGCCGTCAATGGTATTGATGACTTCCATTAAGAACAAATCTCTGGTAGGCCAGCCCAGACTGGAGTCCCTGGCCAGAGCGAAGGTCTTGTATCGGATGGAATCTTCAAGATCGTAACAGTCTGGCATATTCTTCGGACACTCTTTAATGCAACTACAAATATAAATAAATAAATAAATGAAATAAAATTGATTTCTAAAAAATAAATGTGGCCTGACGTTGCGAACTTAGCAAGTTCTTCTTCAGAGGCTAAAACAGAAATGACAGAGGTACATACATTAACATGGGAGTGCACACAAACATGCAGGGTTGAAAGAAGAAACACAAAAGGAGGATTAGGTGGGAAAGGTGTGGAAAGATGCAGGGGAGGGTGGATTAGAGAACAAAGAAACAATAGATTTCTGTGAATTTTTTTCATTCGATGTCTCATTCCAAAGTGAATGACTTTAATATTTCTAGGAAAATAGCAAACTGAAGAAAAAAAAATCAATCTATTTTTCAAAGTAAAACTCAAAAATAGCTTCAGAAAGCATCTGAAGAGATTTTTACACTAACAAAATGAGATGCAAAAAAAATTGATCTTGGAGAAAACAAGCACTTGTACTTTTTATGCACGACTTCTTACACAAAATTAAGCGTTTTGATCTGCAATTCATACTGATATAAATAAATGATCAATCGTATACAACGCCCAATAAATCCCCGTCATCCGATCGGTGGGTCGTTGATCACGTCATTGAATTATTCGTCCCAACCCTCAGCCCGGCCACATCGCAAAAATGGAAGTTCTATATCTATATAAGTTCTTCGGACCAATCAGATGACGAAGATCTATTCAGGTGTTGTCTAAAACAAAACATGAATGTTTCACCCATTCATGCAATGGAAAGAGTAATTTCATTCGGTGACAGATGGGATGTTCCATTCCACTCGGCTTCGCCTGGTGTAATGGAACATTCCATCTGTCACCATATGAAATTATTCTTACCATTGCACTCATAAACGTTCATTATTTGTATAACAGCAAACTTTCTTCTTCTTCATTCATTCATTCATTCATTCATTTTCATGATGACTTGATGAGTTGGGCCCAACTGTCCCTGTCAATCATAGTGTTGGAAAGAGATGGACCGCTCAGACCAGTTTCTAGCTCGATGGATGTTTTCAGGGTCATGTTGGGACGACCTTTTCGTCGAGGGGCTTCAGGATTCCAGAGGAGAACTTGACTAGCTGGCTCATTATGTCGATAAACGTGACCGGCTAGCCGAAGGCGACGCTGTCTCCACCATCATCAGACGGCGTCGCCTTTGGCTAGCCGGTCACGTTTATCGACATAATGAGCCAGCTAGTCGAGTCCTCCCCTGGAATCCTGATGCCCCTCGACGAAGAGTTTAATGAGTCATTGAATGCACAATTCATTTCAAAAGTTCCTGATTTGATTTTGAAACGGATGATCTTTGTTGGGTTTGTGAGAAATCATCTACCCCCGTCCCATCCCGACTTTACCTGAACTGCGTTCCTGCAGCCAGTTGTAGTTCAGCTCTCCGATAGAACCTTGGACAGGGGACGTAGACACACTCGTAGCTTCCCAACGTGTTGAAGCACATTCTGTCGCGCCCGCATCGGTTCGCTTCACACTCGTTGACGTCTGAAAAATGACAACCAATCCTAGTCAGATTTTTTTTTTTTTAAATTCCCCTTTCACCCTGTTTTTGTTTCATTTTAAGGTCTTCGTTCCTCAAAAGAAACAAAACTGACATCAAATACTTACCGTAATTTTCGGAATATAAGCCGCGGCTTATACGTTGATTTTGCCCATGAAAATGTTTACTGCGGCTTATACACAGGGCGGCTTATACGCCGAGCCTTGAAGAATAAAAATGAAATTTACATGTGTATTTAATGTACTGGTATAAGAAGAGATATGTTGCTGAAATGAATTATAAATTAAGAAAGTCATTAACAAACCGAAACCACGTCTCACGTAAAGGTACCGAGCGGTAAAAAAGTACGGTGATGAAAGCTGTCTTCGACACTTGCCACCAGCCGTACGTGATACTGGTACAGTGCAGCAGCGATATGCAGGCATGCTTTCCCAACAGCGGACCACACCATTTGTGGTAACAAAGGGGTGTTCTTTCTTGGGAACAATAATTACCAATATTTTCGCCGTTTAAAAAAAAAGAAAAAAGACCACTACAATTTTTATGGCGTTCGAAACAGCTCAATTTCTTGTAAATTCAAGAACCAAACAGAATGTACCTGAATCACTTGGCCAAAAAATTCATCAAATGTGGGACTCCATTGGTGACTGTATTGGAATCAATCTCTCAACTTCAAAACTTAAATTATACTTGGAGTAGTGGGTAAAAGTAGCACATACAAACACACAGTTGCCCCGACCGGCCATGTTCTTCCAATAATCTGACAATTCTTTATTATTCTTTTTCTTCAGAGATGTTAGTTATTTTACCTTCACAGTTAAACTGGTCCTCACTCATGACGTAACCGTTGGGGCACGAGCATCGATAACTGCCAGCGGTATTCTCACAGGTCCCTTGGCAGAAACTGTGGCCTCGCTCACGTCCCTTCTGACATTCGTCCACATCTGCAAGAAAAAAAAAAAAAATTGGTCGGTTAAATAGCTTGTCATTGACGGAAATGCTTGACAGAGGCCAAGGATGCCTGATGTTTGGATATTTCAAAATCTTGCCCCTATCACACTAGACCCCACACTGACGGCAGGTCTCTGGTCCTGTGTGATACGCATGAGTAGACTTTGTTGTACTTTCCTTGGGTGTGTTCGTTTAGCTCACCCGGGTCGACCCAGTCAGCCCCGTGCTGTTCGATCAGCTCTGACGTCATTCTCGGGGCTCACCCGGGTCAGCCACCACAGACCCTGCTCGTGGAGCAGAGTCAGTGGTGGAAATACGTCACTAGCATGCGTTGTTCATTCCAAGAAACGGACAAATATGGCGTCCGGACAGCGGAAATCTCAAGTGGACCCAAACATCAACTTTATTGGAAGTCTAAAGGTAATCATTTATCGGGTTCATTGCGACTTTTGAGGCTATAATTCCAGCCCAACTGTTCAGAGTTATGCAACTGATTGAAAGCAATAAATCTCAAACTAAGACTCAATCCGAAATGGGCGTTTTGTCAGTGGCTACAGCCACGGCTAGCGTCACATGAGGATCGTGATGGCCCGCGGTTGAGCGTTCGATTAGACCGGCTGTCATGGCTAACCCATCTGCCTTTACCCGAGTCGATCCGGGTGAGCTACTCGAATGCGCCCATTGTCACTGAATTCAAATTACTCAACCTGTCCTCGATGAGGGCGCTCTGTACAAAAGGTCGATCATTTTGCTTTGGAAATGAAACCAGGGATTCCACAATTAAACATGATGAGAAAATGCCAACAAGAATTTGGGGGTTTCGCTGCCTTTCGTCTGCAAAGATTCATCACTTATAAAGTAAAACCACGACTTTAGCCCTGATTTATGGCTACTGACTAGCCAAACTGGTACCCACTCACCGGTGCACACATTTTTGATAAGCTGGTAACCCAGTGGGCAGGACTTCTCGTTAATCAACTGGCCAGTGTTTGGTCGCGTTGCCCGGCCAACGCAGGTCTTACGATCCATCAACCGCAGCATGCCCTCCGGACAGATGCACTCGTAGCTGCCTTTTGTGTTTCGACACTCGTAGCTGCAGGGACTATCGTGACACTCGTTAATATCTGAGGAACAATCACAAGAAAATACATCAAATAATAACCAAAAGAAAAAAGAAACCATTAACCGTATAGACTCTGTGCAAGAACATAATTGAGAATAAGATGATAATCATGATGAATTGAAATGTTCTTTGTAATCTTGGTAAATTCATTTTAGACAATCTCTTTCACTCAAAACTTTTTTGACATTCTTTAAAGCATTAAAACCTTTATTTCAGATTTTTTGTTTTTACAATAAAAGATTGTACATTACAATATCACACTCACAATAAAATCTACTAACGGGATCAAACTTTCAAACATGAATTATACTTTTATGTTACTATTAGAATAGCTTGCTGTATCTCACCGAGGCATATACTGGTCTGACGATCACTCCTGTAGCCTCTAGGACAGAGGCAAGCGTAGCCACCGTAAGTGTTCTGACAGGTCTGAATGCGAGAACAACGATTCAAAATAGGATTTGAACACTCGTTGATATCTAAGGGGAAAAAATTGGATAAAATGTTCATTAATAAGAATATAAACCCTGGAAATACATTTCATTAAATGAGAAAGCCAACTATCTTGGTTCACTGTTAGTCATAGACAAGTCATTACAAGTCAATCAAAAGTCTATCTCAAGTTAATCACAAGTTAATCACAAGTTAATCACAAGTCCATCACAAGTCAATCACAATTCATCAAACTTGTGATTTGACTTAGGATGCTCTTGGTTATAATTCGATTAACCCTAACCTTCCCAAATCCTCCAAAATCTTCTTTGCAAAATGGAGGATTCTGCAGGATTGAGGCTATATGGCAAAAATGTGTGGCTGATTTTGGAAGATGCACTGTGTCAAGGTTTTAGGCCAGACCTTGTGTTGTTTATGCTCAGCCGTGCATAAATTTACGCCTATATGCAGATACTTGAAATCCTCTGCACTTCTCCAGGATGTCACTGGCTCTGCCTCAACATATTGACAGTGATTCTGCAGGATTTTGCAGGATTGAGGCAGTGGTCACGCCTTTAAGGACAACATTCGAGAAACAACAGACGATTTTGCAGGATTGAGGCTGTATGCTATTTTGACATGGAGGCAGTTGGAGTATTTTGCAGAATTGAGGTTGCATCCTAGCAAAAATGCCTAGGGAGTTAGGGTTAAACAAAGAAAATATAATAGGATGGATCTGAACCTACGACCTCTGGATTACAACACAGATGTTCTGACAACGCAACTATCAAGTCTAATTCTGCTTTAGGTAGTTCTATTATCCCTAACCTCCCAGGGCGTCTGAAAAAATATTAAACTTGGAAGATTTGGGACTTGTACTTAGGATTGGAAGGTTGTTAGTGTTAATAGTTGTAGCTCCTGTTTCTTTGGACAAATCTTACCAGCGCATGATCCGTTTGGAGCTCGTTCAAATCCACTCTGACAGACCGTGATACAGGTGAAGCTTCCTCGCGTGTTGGTGCATTGTTGATCTCGGGATGCACATGCATTGGGACGCTCACATTCATCAATGTCTGAAAAGAACACCAAAATGCAAATGGTGACATTTCAAAAATAATTATCTGTAAATTTATCATGTTGCATTATTTGCCTTAAAAACATGCTCGATTTTGAAAATCTTGAAGACCACTGCTAATGCAACTGGTCAAGGATTGGACAAACCTTGACAGGATCGGAATAAATTATTTTTTACAAATATGTGACCTACTGAGGCAAAACGAAGAATGTCCCCCAAAAACTTGTTTTGAGTAATCGACGCCTAAAGTCGGATATACTAGGGGGAAAAAATTGTCAAAATCAATATTGTTTTTTCTTTTTTTAATTTTTGAGTAGCCAAGGTATCCAAGATTCACACTGCACATTTTTGTTGGGAAAAAAAATACACCCAAAAGTGGAAATACTGAAGAAGTTTTTCACTGCCGTTGGCGGCGCAATTAGTTTTTTTTTTTTTCAAAGCCATTTTTCCTCAAAATGAGGTGAGCGAGGTTCGGCGGGACACTGTTGAAGTTCCTGTGGCATGTCTTTGGAATTAAGTAAGCTACAGAAATAAATTTGGTTTCATTGGAAAGCCAGTGATTTGCCCCTTAACATGATGTATATAACTGGAAAAGTCAAAAGTGTGGGTTATTCCTCATTATGCTATGGCAGGTCACATATTTTCTAAACAATCACAAGATGCGGACTTGATGACTATTTTAGACCATTACTTTGTTTAAAAATCTGACATACCTAAAAGGCCAACTAGCATCCAAATTCCAACTTTGCCTGACTCGGTGACTGAACACAAGATCAATTTTCATTAATTGAAAGTAAAAATCTTCACTTTTAGGGTAAGAATTGAGATATCTTGTTGAGTCTACTCACCTACACATGCGCTTCCTCTAGGTTCAAAACCACGGTTACAGCTGCATCTGTAGCTACCCAAGGTGTTCTGACATTGATGATCACACAGGCCTACGTTCTCCTCACACTCATTCACATCTGGAGGCAAAAGAAGAATGTTTCATTTAACATCAGCTTCCCTTGGTATTTATTCACACTTTGAGGGAATTGTGCATAAATGTCCTTAAGAGGATTAAAATCACATTTGAGGCATTTCTGCTACTTCTATTACATAGGAAATACAAGACCAGTTGAAGGCATAATACGATCATTTGCATTCATCCCAAAAGAAGAATGTTTCATGTAAACATCAGCTTCCCTTATTCGCATTTTGAGAGAATTGTGCGTAAATGTTTTCAAGAGGATTAAAAACACATTGGAATCATTTTTACTTCTTCTATTACATAGAAAATACAAGACATCAGTTGAAAGCATAATACAATCATTTGCATTTATCCCAAAAGTAACAGCTTTCTTGATTTAAAGTCAGTACTCATATTAAACACCCCGTGATATTATTGTCTGGCTTGCTGTCATTTTAGAAAAAAAATCAAGAAATGTCGGTGATATTGAACAATCGTCAATTCACTGATTTTTTTGGAATCAAGGGTGCTATCGATGAAGTCTGTTTTGTGATCATAAGGTTGTGTATGACTCTTCACTGTTTTCTTGAAATGTGTAATATCCACTGAGCTGAAACTTCAACAGGTCAGGTTATGAACATTCTTCTTTGGATTTTGAGTGGTGTTATTATTGGAAACGAACAAACTGCATGAAAAGCAAAAGATCCTACATGCCTTTCAGACTAGCACCGTTGTATATAGAAAGTGCTTTTAAACTATCATTAATACTGAAATCTCAAAACTAGAATTGTTTTTACTTGACTTCCACTTCTTTTTTTTTTAAACAGATTGCAAGTATTTAAAGATTAACATTACACCATGTTATTTATTCTCTCACATACATCTGCGTGTATTTGTTTAACTTAACGTTTTGTGTGATATTTTCCAGTCTTCATCAATCTTTCTCGATCACATGTAAGTCTTGGACTACGTCCCTCACGTTTCCTGCAAGCAGCAGTATTTCAGTCCAGGGTTCTCTTGCGCATCAAATTCCAACTCACCGTCACAGGTTAGTCCCGTTGGCAGTCGCTGGTAACCAATTCGGCATTTGGTCAAGCAGACATGACCCCCGGCAATGTTCTGACAGTCCTGATTGGCCGAGCAGAGGTTGGGCGTGGCCTCACATTCATTAATGTCTAAGAAAAGAGTGAGACAAAATATCTTCAATTTTTTTTTGGGGGGGGGGATTTTTTATTAACAGCACTGAGTAGATTTGAGGCTTTGCATGGTGGGGTATCGGTATCGTTTCGGTTTGCTGTTACACCATGTGGTAATTACTACTGCTTAGAAGATATTAGTTCTGAAAAGAACTTGTCCTGCTTATTATCAACTTTGCTAAGTAGTTTTTTGTTCTGATAAGAACAGTCCTGCTGTAAGTTCTAAAAAGACAAGTTCGTTTAGAACTTACAGCAGGACCGTTCTTATCAGCACAAAAAACTACTTAGCAAAGTTGATAATAAGCAGGACAAGTTCTTCTCAGAACTAATATCTTCTAAGCAGTAGTTATTACCACATGGTGTTACCGCAAACCGAAACGATACTAGCACTGAGTAGTTAAGTAATTTCAGAAACCCGAACCAACCTCAATCCTCCGAAATCCTCCTGGTGGTGGATTTTGGAGGATTGAGGATGAATGGTGTTTGAGAAACATGAGGATTGAGGATGAATGGTGTTTGAGAAACATGAGGATTGAGGATGAATGGTGTTTGAGAATCATGAGGATTGAGGATGAATGATGTTTGAGAATCATGAGGATTGAGGATGAATGGTGTTGAAGCACATGGGGATTTTGGACAACTGAAGATGAATGATATTTGAAGAGGATGATTTTGGAGGATTGAGGATGCATGCAATTTTTGAGGCAGGACTGTCTGACCATTTTGAAGGATTGAGGCACTGGGTATCCTTCATTTGAACATAAGTGCAAACTTTTGGAGGATTGAGGATGGTTCCTAGCAAAAAGGGCCTAGGGGGTTAGGTTTAAGGGAGATTGACGAGTTGGAGGGGCGGGGGGTGGGGTGGGGTGGGAGGAAGGGGTGAAGGGTTTGGGAGTAAGTGAGTCCGTTTGTTACCTGTGCATCTGTTGTTGAGATCCAACTTGTAACCTTTGATGCAGGAGCACTGATAGCTACCGTGGGTGTTCTCACATCGGTGGTGACATGTTCCACTCTGTGCACACTCATCCTCATCTTAGGGGGCACAAATCAATTCACACAAAAATATAACAGCCAGTTAGTGAATGTTATGGACACCTTGAGCATGTACCCCTTCAAGTGGTACGAAGAGAGAGTTGAGAGAGACCATAAATAGAAAATTCGTGCGCATCGATGCCATACGCCTTCCACACGCACAAAGACACTTTAGATTTGGGCACATGTGATTAAAGGCTCCATAAGATGAATTATTCTAAGGAGCAACTCTCTACTCCTCTGAAATGTATGAAAACTATTTGACATCCTTATTTTTGGGTTAATTTGACTGAAAAGTGCACTTCTTTGAACATTAAAACAAATGTTCATGTTTTTCCAGACAACTGGGGGCGCTGTTGCTGTGATGTCATTTCGGGAAGACACTGTTCAGCTTAGGGGTTTTCTGTTCAAATTTTGAAACCAAAACTTTGCTCATTGAAAACATTTGTGAGAAAAGTTTGCTCATTGGCTTACTGCCATGTACTGACACAACAACGAATCACCCAAGAAAATTCACGACAGCAAAACATCCACAATTCTGGCAACTTTTGGTGCTGAAAAAGCTGTAACATTTAGGTTTCTGCCTGAAATGACGTCACTCTTTTGCTCACGAATATGGAATTTATATTAGCATTAAAACCAAAAAGGCACCAAAACATCCTTGAAAATGGCAAAATGAAAAGGTTAAGGACAAAAAGGTGCATTTTCAATTACATTACATGGGCCCTTTGACAAATCAGTTGTATGTATTTTGTGCCACACATGCATAAACAGTGATCTTGTGTGTGTGCACATCGTGTTCTTGCTTCCAAAAAGATCTTTTAAACAGTCACAAAGTGCCATTCTCTGTCCATTCAGTTCGTAAGTGAATGAAATTAAGGACTACGACTGGCACACTCATCAAAATGATACCTGGGTTTAAGAATGTGATCAAGTCTTAATCAGGTTTAAAATAAGTTTGTACTAAGTTTGTACACCACGTCTCTCAGTCATGACAAAACCAAAACAGGAGTTGAAAGACAATTTACATATACGTCAATATTAGGGTTGAACGGTTCAGTCCACGGACCCTTAAAGGCCAACTGGGAAAAACATTCATTTTGAAGTATCAATTATTCTAGACAAATTGGAATTGTGAAGATGTTTACCTCTGCAGTAAGGACCTGATTGGTCAAAGTAGAATCCTTGAGGACACTGATTACTGGGGCTTCCTGCAAAGGAGCGTCAAATTTAATTAAAAACAATAACGATTAATAACCTAAATGACCTACTAGATGCACTCATTTCAAGGATTTTTTTAAAAAATAAACTTAGATATGTTTTATAAGAGATAAGATTGTCTTGATGACAGAGGATACAAAAAATATTGCAATTTAACAAACTTTTGAAAATGGTTGGCCTCCACTAATTCAAATTTTGTGAAGAAATAATTCAATAACTAAACGTCCGTGGATTTTTTTCATTCGAAGTCTAATTCAAAAGTGTATAACTTTTATGCTGCTAAGAAAATAGTAACTGAAAAAAAAACCTATTTTATGAGGTGAAACTCGAAAGTAGAATGAGGAGTGCACCTTTAACTAATGAGAATGACAAACTGACCTTCTTGTATGGAGACCTGCACGCCGTACTCCATCATTTGCTCCAGAGGGTTAAAGGTGCCCTGCAGTCCTCTCGCCTTCAATGTCTCCACCAAGAACGGCATGCTAACACCGGCCTGGTCATAATTTATCAGATGCTTCCAGGCGTAAGGGATTGGAATACCATTCACTGTAAAGACCCGAGTGGACTGAGCAAAGATCTCGCCGGGACCGGTCTGGATGTAGTCCTCGTCGTAAGGGAAGAAGATGACTTCGTCGTCTTCGTAGAACTCGGGAACCTCGCCGCTGACGACTACGCTGAGTCTGAGGATGCCGTCAGCGTCTACCCCAGTCACCCGATATTGGATTTGCATCGTTTCTCCTGTCAGTGGAGAAAAAAATAATTAATCCATGGTTCTCACAATTGCAAATACCATTAATTTATACAGAAAATTTGGCCAACCCACTGTTCATCATCAGAAGTGTTTTCAGTGATTTGAGAGATGCTGTGACAAAAGCAAATAATTTCATAATTAGCAACAAATGTTGTTTCATAATTTATAAAAGTTGCCGTTACCCAAATAAATTGGCTTAACCCCTGAAATTCACCTGAACTGGACTTTACTCTGCTGAGACTGGAACCCACAACCTCCTGTATATTGGTGCCGTGGTCCATGGACATTTTAAGTTTTGGGGAACACTTACGTCCGGTTGATACTTTGTGACGTCAAAATTTGTGATGTTAGCAATAAATTCACAGCGCGTCCACCATTGTTGACGACATGTATTTCGCTTTGCTTTCGTTTGAAGTGCGAACCAGTCTTAAGTTCCGCTCTCACAAAAAGTAAAACCCTTGTTACTTGTTGAACTCTAATAACCTGATTAACACTGCCAGCAAAACCAAAACCTGTTTCTCTGAAAGCGTTAGAAGACTCTTTGGAAAATTTCCCATCTCAACAAATACAGCTAGATTCTCTCAGCCACGTTTTTCTGTGTGCTCCTTTTTTAAATAAAATTGTTTGACAGTAAAAGCCACGTACCTGATCCGAAGACAACTTCCGTTTCTCGTTCAAATGTTCCCTTGGTGAGCGTGTAGCCGTTGATCGCATCGCCGAGTTCGTAGGCGCTGGTCCAGTAGATAGGGGAGATCAGGGAGATCAGATAGCGAAGAGCGTAACCTGGGAAACGAAAAGGAGGATCACTGATGAAAAAAGGTTGCCATGGAAATTGTGGAATTTCACTATTGGTCCGATGAGGAAGAGGGCAGTAAATAGAGACAATGGGAATTAATGTTGTGGGATAATCAGAAGCTAGCTGAAAAGAAAACATGATTGGACAATTAATAATTCCACTTCCTTCCAAATTTGTAATAGTGTGGAGATAATGGCTAAAACTTTTTGGAGCATTTTTGAGTAGGAATTATGTAGTGTCTTTAACTCATCTGGGCATGCTCAATACCAATCTAATGGGCCTTATTCTTAAGTCGGCCATACTGAATTGAACGTTAGGTGAAATCTTCAATTTTGGAATTAATGAAATACATTGAGGGAACTCGACAAAAATTTCCAACTCGTGAATAAAGCCCATGATTTCATAATTTATACTCAACAGCACCACTACTAGATTATTTTACATTGCATTTCTAAATGTTTAAATTCTGAATTTCTAAACAAAATGAAACGGTTGGCGCAGTCTACTCACCCACAGTGCCTGGTATGTTGTACATCCTTGCCGAGACCAGACTGTAGCCTCTGGTCTCAGACGACACGTTAGCGATGAGCAGAGTCGTGCCAAACTGCTCCCCGTTGATGTTACCAGAGACGTCGGCGACAGCCTGGATCGGTCCTCCTGAACAAAATAAAAGACATCATCAATGGTTTTAGTCAGAGGCCAATCTCTTTGGTTTGAATCCCACTTCTGACACCACAAAGAATATTGTTTCGAACACTGGTTCGTGTGCGTTTGGCAGGAAGTTTGCACAAGTAATTTTTATCTGAACATATGCACAAACCCATGGCATGTATGCATGAGCGTCGGGTGACGTCGGCAATGTGTTTAAAGATATAGTCCATCATTTGTAATTTGTGCATTTTGTTCGTTTGAAGCAACAAAAGTGTTCAAAATCTAATGAAGGATACTGAACAACTAACCTGATGAAGTTTCAGCTAAGCTTCAGCTGTATATTCCGAGAAAAACAGCATTCTAGGATCTCAGTTTCAAATCAAAAGTTACTGAATCATGTTTTGAATTGTTTTGAATTGCAGCTATACGCGACACTGATCCGACGAATTATAGCAACCGCGCGCGCGTGTGCGTCGTGCCAATGCTTGCGCGCGCTTCGCCGAATAACAAAACGAACTACTAATTTAAATTTTCCTACGGTGCGTCTTAAGACGCACAGTTGGAAAGGCCTTCTTTCGTTGATTACTTCAAAATGACAGCTTGCCAGAAAGAATAATTTCACAGGGAGTTTAGTCCCCTTACTATCTTTCAACCAAGTTTGTTTTTCAACAATTATTACGCCAGTTACTTTTCGGATGGCTGCAAATGATGGACTCTAGCTTTAAGAATCCCTCCCACTGGTCTCCCCAAAATCTCCCTTTGTAAACGTTGAGGGAGTACTTGTTCAAAAGCATGATTGATTGCAAAAATTTATCACATCCAGTTCTGGTAGTTCTTACCTATGCAAGACGGGACGTTACACTTCCTTATTTGTGTCCGAGGACCAACACACGGCAGACCGCCATTAGCAGGGGCCGGATTGTCGCATGTATGTTCTCTGACGCTCTCGCTATCGCCGCATGTCTGTGAACAGGGACCCCAGGCAGACCATGGACTCCAGTTACCATTTCCTGCAAGTACAAACAAAAAAAGCTAGCCAATAATGTAAAGACAAAGTTCTGATGTATGTGACCTGCTGAAAGAAAGTCACAAGTCATTATTCTTTGTAATGTTGCCTAGTGGTGGCCTTGCAATGGTTACCATGATTAACATTTTCTTACTTTGTTCTTACTTGAATTATAAAGAAATTCCTGTTTTCATACAGCCCTGTTTTCTTGCAAAAGTTCTATTAATGTATATCACATTTGCTGACAATGAAGAAATTGTCACAAAGAAGTTTGAAAAAAAAAACTTTGAAAATAAGCTTGAAAATAAATTTGTATTCATATTCAACTTGATTTGGAAGCAAAGTGACACAAAACATATTGATTAAATTTTAAAAATGTAAATCTTTGGACCGTATGTAAAACAGTCGCTGAATGGCTCACAAAAAAATAGAGGAACATTCTCCACCATATGGATGTATGGATTGAACGCGTAAAAAAAACTGACCACCAAATTGATACTTTTTAATACCAAAAAAAACCCCATCAAATAAAACATATTCTTACGTCTGCATTCCTCCTGGTTACAAGTTCTAACTTCTTGAGCCTTGCCGGGGCAGCGTCTGCCATTGTACTGAGGAGCAGGACGCGAACAGGAACGGAATCGATACTGGCGCCCACCATCGCATGATGCACTACAGCTGGTCCAGGCCTCCCAGGGGGACCAGTTACCATGGACTACAAGAGGTTAAAGGTCAAGAATACTATAGATTAATGTTGTGCATCAGGTCAGGTTGACCAGGCCAACCGACCCGAAACATTATAGATATAAACTGAATCCAAACTGAAACCAATCTGAACTCCCCAAATCTGACCCGACCTGACAAAAATTCAAGCAAAAACTGACCTGAACCGAACCGACCCAACCCCCCCCCCCCAAAAAAAATATCTGGCTTGGGCAACTGTGTCAGGAAATAATTGAATATATCTGTTACGTTCTGAACAGCTATGACAAAAATCAGAGTTGCGCTGTATGCCTTTAGAGCCAGTACCGCCCCAAACTGCCCTGCCTAATACTCCCTATACTGCCCAAACTACCCGAGCCTACTATGGTTTTATGGATACATCAGTGAATAAATTAATACAATGTAATACAATTCAGTACAGGAGCTCATGGGTTAAAGACTGAAATAAAACAAATAACACGCTTCCAAAAATTATTTCATCTCTTAAAACCTACGATTCTTTTCAAAACAGCACTTCTCTTTAAAAGTGGGTCACATTAGATGATATTTCTATTGCAAGCTTTTTGCAGTTCATTTAAAAGATACAAAGAAATCTTGAGTGGAGGTCTGTACTGAGGCTATACCAACTGTTTCAATAAAAACAAAATTGGGGGATGGCTCAAAATATATCAGGAAGTGCAATAGAAAATCACTGCTGTTGAGTCTGCGGTCAACGAAAATCCAACCTCTGGAATTTTGGAAATAGCTTGAAATTCTGATGCTTACTTGGGCAGCGTTCAACATTGCAAATGTCTTGTTCGATGTTATTCCCCGCACATTCTCGGCCGTTGTTCTGCGGTGCCTGGCAGGTACGGGATCTCGTCCGCAGTCCCCCGTTGCAGGAACGTGAGCAGGTCGTCCATGGTGACCAGTTGTTCCAACGCCCATCAACTAACAGAACAACAAAAACATTAATTTTTTTGCTCAACACAATATTCCTTTTTTTGCCTCAAACATCAGAATTTTGTCTCGACATCTTTAGTTTTTTTAGTTTATATTTAATCACACTGCAAAACTGTACCTGTAAAATCAAGTAACAGTGAGGATAAGTAATCGCAATTTAATTGTTTTAGTTCATCTAATACGCACAAATGAGAACAACTTGTTTTCCATTTCAATAATTGCTTTTGTCTGTATTAGTATTCTTTTTAGACTTCGAATGTGGTGTGCAATGTTATTATTCAACAGACACAATGCTTAGCAATTAGTCTCAGTAAGCCAAAAGCAGCTGTGCACCTGTCCTATCATATGGTGCTTTGGTTGGTATCACCTGTTTCTGCTTAGCCAAAACATTCCAGTGCTAAGCAGGGCCCAATTTCTTGGCTCTGCTTACCGTTACCGAAGAATCCCTGCTTACTTTACCAGAAAATTCCGTGCTTACAGTAAGCGTATTTCACGCGTTAGCGAGGAAGTTTTACTTATAGGTTAGCACAGAATTTTTCTGCTAGCACAAAATTTGTGGTGGTAAGCATGGAATTCTGTGGTAAGCAGAGCCAAGAAATTGGCCCAGTATGTGCTCACCAGCCAATAAAATTAGCCATGCAGAAGAAAAACTGTTCCGTCTCTGTTTATGTACATCCAGAATTAAAAGATGTTCACAAAATCTTGGCTTCATCCCCATATTCATGATTTCACTTCCCGGACTTGACAGACTCCAGAGCAGTCCACATAAACTCTCACACATGGCCAATGCCTGATGTGCTTTCGTTGGTCATGAAGCTAGCAGAATTCTTATGAATCTTGGGCAGGAGACAAAGCCAACGCCAGAAAACAGAGCCCAAGTTTTGTAACCCCCTGAAACCATACCCAATTCCTACCTGGGCAGTCCCTCTCTGAACACATTCTCTTGTGCTCGGCCGGTCCCAAGCAATCACGGCCAAAGTTGGAAGGCGGCGGGTTGTTACACTGTCTGGTTCGGATCTGCTCACCGTTGCCGCATGTCGCACTACACGGCTGCCAGTTAGTCCATGGGCCGTACTTCCCATCCACTACAAGGTGGTGACATCATGGGTTATTAATAGTAACAATTTTGGTATTGAATTCTAGTTGTACAGCTAGAGAAAAGAGGACTTTTTATCTGAAGATCAGCAGATCTTTTGGGTACTTCTACAGCCTAGTAAGGTAACTTTCAAATTAATATTAGGTTTTTGCCCTTCACTGACGCATAAACACTGACAGTGTTTACACGTCGGTGAAGAGCAAAACCTAATACTGGTTTACATCACCCCGACGCAAATTCATCTTATGAATAACTTTCAAATTCATTGTCAAAGGGACAAAACACAATTGAAAGATTTTTATCATGATTTTTGAAGAAAAAAAATATGTTAATAATTTCTGATGGATTATAAACAAGCATAGAGTTTCACAAAGTAACTTTGGCCACGATATCTAGCATACAAAGGAAAATAGCATAAAAAATTGTTTAGAGAACTGATTCTCAATCGGGCACAATTCTTACCTGGGCAGTTCCTCACGACGCACTCGGCTTGTTGGCTCGGCGCCCCATCGCACCCTCGTCCGTTGTACTGTGGTGGTGGGTTATCACAGTAACGTACCCGGGTTCGAATCCCGCTACCGCATGTGACTGAACACTCACCCCACGGTTGCCAACTGCTCCATCCACCATCGACTGTGGAAAGAAGTTTTATTAAGGAGGAGGAAAAGGTGTTAATAACAAAATAAATCTGGTGAGATATAAACCATCATGTTTTTTTATTTTTATTTTTATAAGATGGCCAGGCAGTTAAATAACTGATGGAGATTCATTTCATAGATTAAAATTGTTCACAAGATTTCAAAATCATGTTAAATTTTTCTTTTTCTTTTTTGTTTAAAAGGAAATTTTACTTTACACATGAAAAAAACAAAAAACAAATTGCAACTGCCAAACATCACACTCGTTTTACAGGTGAAGTTTCAGCCAAATTTTCATTATAAACATGTCTTATATCAAATACAACTTGTGGAAGTTGCAATCTAAAGTTTCATCATAATATTTCAGATTTAAAAGCTGAGCACAACTTTGAATTAAAGAATGAAAACACATGTCGATTTGTTATATTTTCTGATCAAAACAAATATCTACCAAGTCGAAGACTTTGAAATTCTAGTTTACCGTGATCATTACTGACCAGTACGTCCAAACAAGAGGTACAGGCTTCAATGCCGTGTAACGTTCCACTGTCAAGCGTGGTTAGACTCCACATTACGTTAGTATCTGAGCTCTTCTAAAACAAGTCCATGCAAAGAGGATTAATAGGCTGATTAGTAGAAGGGTCAGGGGTTGGGAACAGGCATCCTTTGATTGAGTATTTTAGTGGGTCAGTAAAAGCTGTTACATTGAATCTGCTACTCATGCATAACATGAAAATTATTCTTAAGGAGAGATTTTTATTTTAAGTTGAGAGTTATTGAGTAAACAAATATGGATTCTGAAGTATTGGAGTTTTGAGGTTTTTTGTTACTTCCGTTGAAAGAAGTGGTTTTGAATATTTAATTGGTAAATGAAATTAAAATCATTCAGGAAAGAGTCATTCAGGAATCAGGGGGATATGGTGAGGGACAACATGTGGGATCAATACCGGTTGACAATAGTTACGTGGGGTTGAGATGAACAATATTAAGTCTGCAATGCAAGAGAGTGCAAGATTATTTATTTTACAGGATTTTCTGGAAATTATTTATTGTGTAAGTTTGGTTGAAGGTTGAGTTTTGGCAGACAGGTCATACAGGGTGGTAAAACAAACCACGCAACCTCATATTTCCAATATCCAGGGACCTAAACCATTGATACGTATGGCTAGGACATTTTGTTAGAAGGAAAATGATACCAAGAACTCCTGATTCACGGGTTCAGTAGTTTTGATTGCAGCGCCATTTTTTGAACCAAAGTCAGGGGTTAAGATAATCTATTTGTTCACTGTCTGCAATAGTCCTTATTAGAGCCCCTAACTTTGGTTCACAAAAATGGCTCTGGAATCAGAACTACTGGACCGAATCAGGAGTTCTTGGTATCATTCCCTTCCAACAAAATTTCCTATCTATATATTTATCAATACAGTGGAACGCCGCTATAAGGAACATTGCGGGATCCACAGAAATGTTCGGTATAGCGATTTTGAGCCGCTGGTGATTAAAATGGAGTTTGTCCTTTGAAACAGCACCCTCTTGTGCCCTAATTGAAGTGCGCCCTCTTTTGACTGGATTTGTTAAGTGTTTATTCATTTACCCCTTTTTTGCCGTTTCGATGTATAAAACTGTTTCTTAAACTGTACCTCTAAATTTTAAGTAAAATTCTATTAAGAAATTGCTATAAAGTTTATATGAAAATCTACTGAATTTTTTCAACAACAAAGATCGGTATGTTTTGTACACAAAAACTGGGAGCCAAGGATGATGTTTGGTATAGCCGAATGTTCGGTATAGCAGTGTTCGGTATAGTGGCACTCCAATGTAGTGTAAGTCTCTGAATAGTGGAAGTATGAGGTTACGTTTTTTTTTTTACCACCCTGGATAGTGTGAAGTGTTTGATGCAAAAAGTGCAAGGAATTAAAAGTTGAATTTAAAAGGGATTTTTGAGAATTTCTGTGAGTTATCATCTAACAGGAAGTGACTTTTGGCAGACATATTCTCTGGGAGGTTGGAAATTAAAATCATTCTGAAATTATTGGAAAGTAAATTGTGAAGTGCGAGATACATGAAAGAAAGAATGAAAACATGGAATCTCTTTTTGGGAATTTAGGAAATTGTCAAGATTATCTCCTAATATCGAGGAGGATATGAGTTTGGTTGGAGGTAGACTTTTGTCAGACATATTATAGGGAGGGAAAAATTAAAATCTTTAGGAACTATTAGAACAAAAATTGTGAAGTGCTTGAAACGAGAAAGTGCAGGGAATTAATACAAGGGTTCTCTGTATAAGGGAAATTTAGGACTTTTTTGAATATCTTGTAGTAGGAAGTGAGTTTGGTTGAAGAGTTTTGTTGGCCGGGACTTACTAGGACACATTGGGAGGCTACAGTCTCTGTTATCGGTTGACGGCCCTGAACACTGTCTACCGTTATTGGCCGGGGCTGGATTGTTGCATTGTCTGGTACGTCGTTGGTACGCACCCTCACCGCACGTTTTACTACACTCGCCCCAAGGCTCCCATTCCGAAAACTGTCCATGCACTAAGAAAATAACGTCAAAATGGAGGCGATGTACAACACGGCAAGGCACAGGCAGACATGAAGGACGGACAGACATTGAGAACAAATGGGGACAGTGACAAACAGACAGATGGGCAACAAAAAGACAAACAGTTAAACTACGTACAAACAGAAACACAGACTGAACAAACAGATTGGGCCAGAGTGAACAAGTACAAACACTGAGTCGGGGTGACAAACAAATAAACAAACAAACATGAATACAAAGATAGACAGGCAAACTACTGACAAAAAGAAACACAGTATGAACATACAGACATTAAAATGAGGACAAGGTGACCAACAAACAGACCAGAAGATGAACTACCAAACTAGTAACAGAGACAAAATCTGAACAACAAGATTGGCAAAGGTTGACAAACAGACAGACAACAAACAAGGTGGACAGCTAAACATCAGACTTGCACAATGACAGTCTGAATAACGGACAAACATGCAGACGGGGAATGAGTAACAAACAAACAGACAGACTGAAAATATTCTGAACTAACAATACCAACATACATCACGATGCAGTAAAAAAACAAAAAGATAAACAAACACAATTCTATAGAACACACTACTGATACAAATTACACACAATGCCATCATACATCGAATTCAGCCAAGCTCAAACATTACACACAAATTAATAATAGTCACACCAGCCTTGCATCAAAATTCTGCTAAAAATGCAATAATCATGCTAAAACAAAGACTTATATATCTACTTTCGTTAAAGATTCATTCTATTTGTTGTTGTTTTTTCAATTTAATGTTTATGTCCCAGAAAACAATTCCATTGTAGAGATAAGCCTCAGTTACTTTCACAATTGCCAAATTGTACTATGTAAACAGTTCAGACAAACTTCATACCATGATGAACATTTTTGTGGATATCCTTACAAGTGAATTTCATACATGAATTACAGGTGAAGAAATTCATTGGACAAAAATTAGAATAAATCATAATCAAAAATCAGAATAAAAGTGTATTTACAAAAACTGACAAACTTGGAAATGTCATGAAATCAGTGCTGTATCACAGAGTAGAATTCAATGGATTAAATCTAGAAATTTCAAAGAAGTTTGCAAAATCCTACTAAGTTTTCAACCTTATTTAATTACATTAACACTTTTAACAAAAAGGTTGCAAAAACAAGCGAAAGCAAGACACACAGTCGTGCAAAATAAAAAATTTCACCTACCTCTGATCGTCACAAACACAGCCACCGATTGCGGACCCAAAGAGTTAGTTGCTTGACACACGTAGCGACCGGTATCTTCACGCTTAGCAGCCACAATAAGCAATGTCTTATTGGGCAAGATGGATATTCCTTGACTGGCCACTAAGTAGCCATCCTTGAGCCAACTGACCGACGGTTTGGGTTCTCCTTCTACTAGACAGTCCAGTTTGACCGTGGAGCCCTGGTCAGATGTGGTGTTCATGGGCTCAACCACGAACGTTGGTTTCCCTGGAAAAACAACCAATTCAAATTGTTCACAACCTCGACTGTTTGGACTTAAAGGCCTTAGTTTAATGGACAATCTTGAAGGTTATAAATAGTGTTCATACATCAGTTTATTTAAAGCTATAGTCCATCATTTGCAGCCATCCAAAAAGTAACTGGCGTAATTATTGCTGAAAAACAACCTTGGTTGAAAGAAAGTAAGGAGACTAAACTCCCTGTGAAATTATTCTTTCTGGGAAGTTGTCATTTTGAAGTAATCAACGAAAGAAGGCATTTCCAACAGTGATTCTTAAGAAGCACCGTAGGAAAATTTAAATTAGTAGTTCGTTTGTTATTCAGCGCAGCGCGCACAAGTATTGGAACGACGCACACGCGCGCGCGGTTGTTATAATTCGTCGGATCAGTGCGCGACGTCGCGTATAGCTGCAATTCAAAACAATTCAAAACATGATTTAGTAACTTTTGATTTGAAATTGAGATCTTAGAATGCTGTTTTTCTCGGAATGTACAGCTGAAGCTTAGCTGAAACTTCATCAGGTTAGTTGCTCAGTATCCTTCATTAGATTTTGCTTCAAACGAACAAAATGCACAAATTACAAATGATGGACTGTAGCTTTAAAGGCTGTGCATCGGAGCCGGGTACCCGAGTACCCGACCTCTGATATCAGGAGCCGGTTCCAGATTATGGAATCGGGTACCCGTACCCAACTTTAAGTATTACTTGGTAACTACTAAGACTATGAAAAAAAGAAAAGGTTTTGAATGTCTATTCATAAGATGGAATTTTGCATCGATCCCGTTAGCTCAGTGGTCGAGTGGTAAGATGTCTGCACTAGAAAGCAGGAGGTCATGGGTTCGAGTCCCACCCGAGTGATTTTTTCCAACTTTCACTCGGGAGGTAACACACTGAGTACACAGTGTTTATATGTCGGTGAAGGGCAAAACCTAAATTGGTTTTGAATGTCATTTGTGGAAAAACAAAACAGATTCATGTTTATGACGCTTGCGAAAATGCAATTTACACCTCAAAGCTACATGTATTGAGCTCACTGTACACACTTGTATGTTGCTGTATTGACGTACCGTTGTAGTTTTATCGTGCAGACCTTTATGAACAATCTGTACAGCAGCTTCCGAGTTTTAAATTTTGGGGTTGGTTTCTTTAACGGGTACCCTGGTACCCATGTTTTTTTCAATCGGATACCGGCTTCCCATGCTAGCCGTAAATGCACACCCTTACATCAGTTCTGCCTACCTGAGCAATGATACAAGAGCTTCAAGCTGTGAGTGAATTTCCGGCCAAAGGACAAATTGTCTGAACTGATTTCTTAGCGCCCAGCCGCACGTTCTCTTGTCTGCAGGTTCGAATTTTTTCTGCTTACCGCATATCTTTGCTAAGTTGATATTTTATCTTTGGTAATTACTCCACAGTGGATATCTAACTTACTTTGCACAGCTATGAGTGCTGCGACAGTGTCGCTCCCAAACCTGTTGTAGACTCGGCAAATGTACTGACCAGCATCCTGAGCCTAAACAGACACAACAGAAAGACAAGCACAAAAAAACCACTGAGCATCAATAAGTAATGCTTAGTACAAACAGGTTACCGGTGAATATGCCATGCAATATGTACTACTTGTGGCTGGTACTCGGCAATATTATCTGCTTAGCGACTCCTTGACATTGGGCCCTGGTCAGTTTATCATTATGTCGCCCACAGGTGGGATCTCCTACGGCGACTCCAGTCTCACTTATTTCTTATGCAGGCAGCCAGCTCTGCCGTGGTGTCCGCCCCAGCATTCCTATCAGGACACCGACATAACTTGTCCTCTGTCCTCCCCTCAGCTTCGCCCCGTGAGTCGGTTCCCACAGCACCAGACGGCTTGCCGGCAGCTCAGGATGCCTGTGGCAAAGCCCATCTGCCTGTATAGGATCTTTTGCAAGATCCGTGGTAGCTTGCAGTTGAAGTGAGTTAGCTAGTCAAGTTGTTGGTTTGTCAATTCGGGCGATTCACAATGCAGTGCGCCACCAAGAGTTTGCCACGGAGAGTTCATTTTTCCCAATGCATTGTGGGAGATGGTCGACAAATTCGCAGCGCGGGACATTTGAAATTGTTAGTTTTTCCGGTCAGTAGTTTCGTAAGCGTATGATTCGAGTATCTGTTTGCCCTTTTCTTTTCTTTTTATCAATATGGTGTTTTTTGTTAGGCGGCAGAACGCTTTGCCCAAATCTATAACAAATTAGCTCAAGTTGTCTACTGACACTCATTCAAATTGTTCATGTTGTGTCGACCGTAAACTTGAAAAATAGACTCTCCATGGCAAACTCTTGGTGGCGCACTGCATTGTGAATCGCCCGAATTGACTGTTGTAGACTGTTGTAGTTAACTGGTTGACAAGATACTGAATAGGAAGTTTATTAATACTTCTTAACCAATCGATTGAACAGTTCCTTATCTGAATATTTAGTCTCTCAAAATCCCATGTCCAATAAATGCTTTAGTCAACTGCTCAATAGTTTAATCGATGGACTGTCAGTTTAGCAGTTGACTAAATGGTTAGTGGAGTCATGAAGCAGTTGTCCGTTAAGACCAAAACACACGTCAGATCCACAGTTTAAATTGTTGATCAACAAAACCTAAACAGACTTTTACTAATGCCTAATTACAGACCGATATTCAATTCCCTTTTTTACTCTACAAAACTAACCCGTGTTCTATAGATGATAAGTGAACCGTTTGGAGCTTTCTGGACCCGGTTATCGTAACTGACGACCTTGTTCCCCTTCAGCCAGACCACTTCAGGTGGTGGGTCGCCTGCCGAGGCACAATCTAAGACGGTGATGTCGCCCACGCGGACATCCTTATCATCTGTAGACACGGAAATACTCGGTGGAACTAGGAGGGAGAGACATAAATGAGTGTCAGGATTTCAACGAGAAAAAACAGATTCTGGGTTTAGAATGTTAATTGGACTCATTGGGATTCACGTGATTTGGTTGAACAAAGAAAACTGATGTTTGGATTCGAACCTGCAAGCTCCAGAATTAAGTATGGTGCTCTACCAACTGAGCTATCAAGCTCTATATTGTTGGTAGTAATGGAAAGACTCTGTGAATGTCTTTCCTCAGCAGTTCAACTTTGTGGATGGAAATCATAATATAAAGCTAAAATCCTCGGTACTTTTTTCCAATTTGACTCAAACAGGATTCGAACCTGATCTCAAGGATACCAAACCACTGCCATACCAATAAATCTAACATTTGTCAATGTTTCTGCTTTCAAGTTCAACTCATGGACAGAAACCTGATATTCTAAACAGACATACATATTTTCATCTTTTTTATTCAAATGAAAACAGTTTCCGTCAAATATTTGGGTTAAATGCTAACCTCTGACGGTAACATACGCCGTCGCGGTGCGGCTTCCCAGCTGGTTGTCGGCTGAGCATTTGTACGTTCCTTCGTCCTTCTTGCTGATGTTGTCAATCACATAGGTGCTTCTGCCGTTGATGGTGGGCGGGCCTAACATAGAATATTCATGAGGAATTTACATATCATTCCATATTCATAACAAATTTTCAAATCGTTCTATATTCATGGAGAAAATAAACTTTGACCCTATTAGTGAAGCCAAAGTAACTTCATTATGTCAAACAATATTTTTTAATACAAATTTGTAAAAAAGATTCATGTAAAACTGAAAAGATGTAACACTGTATCTGTCCCAACAGAAAAAAAATGGTCTTTGGTGCAAATTATGTGAACAAGGCTATGTCAAAGAATGTTGTGACTGTGCAGAAATTGTTTTTGACATTTCCGAAAGTCTGTGCCAGATCTTCCAAAGCCCTCCATGTACTTACTGACTGTCTTCGTTCCGTTGATGTACCAGGAGATGTCTGGAGGAGGGTAACCCTGGGCCTCGCAGACCAGCTCTAACCGATCCCTGGTGCCCAGCTCAATGTCGTTGGGGAAACTGACGAAACGTGGACCGACTGACGCAGAAAAATAACATTAGAGAAGAGGGAGTGAATATGAGGCACGGTATTTCGTCTTGCGGCAAAATGTCGGGATGGCTGTATGACAAAATGTGGACTAGTTGTTTCAAGACAATCAAAATTGTAGAAAAGGAATTACATCCAATGCTTAGGCAAGTTTTCACAACAGAACGCAAATGTTAAATGGGTCACTCTTTAAATTTCGAGTCCACTTTTTTCCTGTCCCTGTTATATCTGACATCTATGGTTTAATAATTCCGATGTCCTCCTTAATGCAGTGAATGTGAATAGCAAACTGTCTACCCAACAAGCAAAAAAATAGTTTGAAATCTTTCTTATTGTTTTTTTTTCAATCCTGCAAAAATAAGAAATGAAATGAGATAAATGAAAATATACTTGAATGGCAAATTACAAAGTACCAAGGTAACGGGAACGGAAGAAATGTCACACTTTAGACCCTTAATTGATAGAATGACCTGAATGTCAAATTATGAAACAAGTTCCACAAATTGGAATGGTTTTACGTTCTCCCCTTTTCCTAACCACTGCCATTATTCTAGTAACAACAACGCAATCTTGACTGGCTCACCATGTATGGCCAGTACAACTGTTCTTGTTGCGTGTCCCACCACGTTGGTAGCTGTGCAGACGTATTGACCGCTATCACTTTCCTGCAAGACAAAATAATGTTCAGATTTTACTTTTGTTTATCACACATGTATTTTAAAATGTTAGGAATGTTGAGAAAAACTACGATCCATCTTTGCTCTCTTGTAAGTATTTTCAATTTTAATGGCTGTCCATTGGGTACCCAAATTCATTTTTATGTGTACCGAATAGAACAAAATAATTTGGAATCGAACCAACATTTGGAAGACTAACACTGTAGTCGTACCACATGGATTTTGGTTTCAGACAGACAAAACTTTACGTATTAATTTCCACTGACCATGTCCCTGAGTTTATTTGAATTACTGAAAAAAGTCAATCTTTCAACAACTAGTGCAGGAAGGTGTTCCTACAGTTTCAGGGGAGTCAGGTTGGCATAGCGGTACTTTCCTCGCCTTCCACCGCTGTGACCCGGGTTCGAATCCCGCCTGGGCCAATATGTGGATTGGGTTTTCAGTCCCTGCCTGATTCCGTGGTTTTCCCCAGAATATTCTTCTGGGGTTTTTCCTCCCACCTCTAAAACTGTATTTTCTTCTCATTGTCTTCTCTCTATAGGTTTCTTCAGGCTTGCGAGCTAGAGTGCGCTTTTAGGGATCCTTGGTTTCGTTACCAGAAATAAATAATAATATTAATAATATAAAAAAAACCTCTCATTTTTTTAATTCAAATCTTTGGTTCAGTGCGACTCTGGGATGCCAGTCCGAACCAGGTGCAAATTTCAAACATCGAGGATGTATTAACCCATTAGTACTTGTACTACATTGTATTACATTGTAGTACAATGTAGTACATTGTATTACATTGTTTTACATTGTATTACATTGTAGTACATTGTCTTGATTTCCTGATGATTTCATCTAACCATAAAGTGGTTTGATGAAGTATAGGGAGTAACAGGCAGGGCAATTTGGGGCGGCGCTGGGGACTTACTTGTACTTGCTCAATGACCAGAGTGCCGTCATCTTCAATGGCCAGACGTCTTGAGGTATCGATGGGTTCTCCGTCTTTCTCCCAGGTGATGACAGGAGGAGGGAAGGCATCGACGATGCAGGAGAGACGAGCAACGTTACCGAGATTGACGGACAAGTCTGTGGGTTGACGAGGTCTGGGGCTCGGGGGAACTAAGGGAGGAGACATGGCAAGAAAACAAGAAGGAATTCAACTTTCTTGGAATATTTTCATTAAGGAGGATATGAAAAGGAAACTAAAGAAATTAGACTGTGCTAAATATGACATTTAAAAAAAAAAAATTCTGAAATTGCCCAAATCTTGGATTAACACCAAGATGTCACTTTAAAGTTCCAAAATATAAGTTAAAAATGGTTTGTTTTGTTCTCAGCTACTCATTTTGGAGAAACCGGTGCAAAAAATTGAAATATTGACTGAATATGCTAAAACAGTGTGGTGTTCATGTAATTCATAACAATTATTTCTCTAAATATCATTCTGAATAACATCCAAATGTTCTGAAACATTAGAAAATGACCAACTTAAAAAAAATAATTTAGTTTTGAGTAGCTCATTATACTTCATTTCCAGCTGTGTCAAAATTTGACGAATGTTTCCAAAATTTCACATCGTACCTTTGACCTCAAGATATCGTTGTATCTGAGCAATACCGACTCCGTTATCCGCAAAGCAGACATACAATCCCTGGTCCTCGCGACGGACTACCGGTATCTGCAGCGAGCCGCTGGGTAGGATGTTGTAATGGAAACCGTTGCCGGTGATCTCCTGACTGTTATGGATCCAACGTATGACAGGAGGCGGGATACCAGTGACCTCGCATGATAGAGTGATCTGGTCTTCCTCGGTGACCGAGTGCTCGGTGAACGCCGGTCCGTCAATGGACGGTGACACTGTCAAAACAAATATTCAAAAGATATGGTCAGTGAAATTATGTGGTTCCTTGTAAGTGGACAATTAGAAACACTACAAGCTGATTTCTTAATATAATGAAAGGTAGAGTACATAATTTGTCATTTTGTGATTTTGTTTGTTTGTTTGAAGCAACAAGAGTGCTCAAATCTAAATAAGGGTGCTTAACAACTGACCTGATGAAGTTTTAGCTTAGTGAATGCTATATATTCCAAGAAAACAATATTTTTGAATCTCGATTTCAATTGAAAAGTTGCCGAGTCATGTTTTGAATCGTGCCCAAATTCAGCATCCGGGACACTTTTTCATTCAACCAAATGCAGCAACGTGATGTCACACGCTGAATTGATGAATCATAGCAACCGCCCAAGCGTGGGCATGTTGTCAACGCTTATTCACAGCTTCGCAAAATTAAAAATGAACTACTAACTTAAATTTCCAAAGATCTACTTCCAAATGACAGCATGCCAGAACGAAAGATTTCCAGGGAGTTTAGTACCATAACCATCTTTAAACCAAGTATGCTTTTCAACTATAATTTTGTCAGGTACTTTTTTGATCGCTGCAAATGATGTACTCTATACCTTTAACTACCAGTCTATTTAAGTATGTGTTTATTGTTTTTATCAGTTCTGTAGTCGGGTTCACCTCAAGTCTGGTAACAAGTAAATCACAAGTCAGTTCACACGTTTGCTCACAAGTGTTAAACTGGGGAGGAAGAGTGACAAGAGAACGTCTTGGGACGGGACGTCTTTGTGATGACTTGTGAGGACTTGTGCAGTATCACTTGTTCGTTAATTGCATATTTATATATCCATTTATTTATTTATTTATATATTACTTTCTATGATTAACTTTTTTTGGATTAATACTGTGGAAATAAATAAACCTGAAACCTGACTTGTGAGCTGTGGACTTATTAAACTTTGCTAGCCTCAAAACACGCCAAAGAAAGAACCTCAAAATGTCAACATACCTTGAACTTGCAGGTCCACCCTGAGTACAGATGATCCCGCCTTACTCCGAGCGGTACAGATGTACCGCCCAGCGTGACTCATCTCCGAGCTGTCAATCATCAGCATCCCGTTGTCTAGAATGGTGTAACCCATGTCGAGGGTCAAGATGCGATTGTTCTTCTGCCAGGTGATGGTCGGACGAGGATTGCCAGAGGTGGAGCACGGGATCCGGACGGGACGACCCAAGCTGACGGAGATGGTGTCTGGGACGGGCTCGATGCTTGGCGAAACTGAAAATGACAAAGATGGATCAACAAATAAAACTGACATGGATATCCTTAAACTGTCTATCTTTTTCTTCCTCAAAACTATAACTCTTGGCTGACACTTGTCCGAAACGAGAAGACATTGCGTTGCAAGACGATATACAAATTAACACACTATTCATGAGACAAGACAACCTTAAGACCGATCTTAAGTTAAGATGAGTTCAGCCACGTTGCTAAAGGAAGTAAGAACGTTTTGAACATGTCTTAAGTTTGGTGAAGTCGATCCAAGGGCAAGTCGCGAACTAAGACAATTTACCCTTCCTAAGACGCGTCTTAGCATTTCATGAAATTGGGCTCAGGTTCCACGGAATTGAGAACATTCCTCCATATACGAAGACTTTAAATCTTATATCCACAGTTTACTGACCCCTACTAAATTTTTGTACACATGAAATAGGTGCGTAAATAACTTTTTTTAACTCAATCATAATACAGCGACTTACCCAAGACTTCTATGGTGAATGATTTGGTGAAGTTGCCAGCGACGTTTGAGACGAAGCACTCATAGTATCCCATGTCAGCAACACTGACCTGTGGTATATGGAGACTGCCCGAGGACAACTGGTACCTACAATCACATCAAACCAAAGAATGGATTATCAGCATCTCAAGTTTCACTTTTGTCTTAAAGGTAGAGTATATCATTTGCAGCTATCCAAAAAGACACTGATGAAATTATTGTTCAATAGCTTACTTGGTTTAAAGATAGTAATGGCACTAAACTCCATGTGAAATTATTCTTTCTGGCATGCTGTCATTTTGAAGATAACAATAAAAGAAGGCCATTTCCAAAGATGCATCAAGTGACGCATTTTTGGAAATTTCTGTTAGTAGTTTGTTTGTAATTTGGCGAATCTGTGAATGGGTGTGCAAAAGCATTGACACGATGCACACGCGCACGCTGTTGCTATTATTCGTCAGTTCAGTGTGTGACTTGGTGCAGCTGCAATCGGCTGAATGAAAACTTGACCCTGATTTCAGGCGCATTCTCAGAATATACAGCATTCACAAAGCTAAAATTTAATCAGGTTTATAGCTGTTAAGTACCCGTCTTTAGATTTTGAGCACTTTTGCTGCTTCAAATTTTAAAACCCTACAAATAATTTATCCTACCTTAAAAAAAAAAGTTGCAATACCTCATAAAAAATGAGTCAAACCTCAACGACATTAGTTTTGAGTTTAAGAATACAAAATATTTGTTTATGAAATCAACTTATTACAAAAGTATTCTTTTGTAAGAATTATTTAAAAACGAAACAATATCTCATAAAATGTCTCAAAAAACAACAACATTAAATTTAAGCAAACGAATGTGAAATATTCTTATATGAAATCAAGGATCTTATTACACAGGTGCTCTTTTAACAAACAGTGGTGCAAAGACTTGAACTATACCCAAAACACATGAGAAAAACTGTAACACAGATTCATGGCAGATAAATACACTCAACCAAAAAAGAAGACCCCCCCTCCAATACTTTTTTGTCTAACTCAAAAACTACTGAGCACCTCTTGCTCAAATAATGACTTATCAGTACAGGACTTCCTTAGCAATCCAGCCATACTCTTTATTTGGCCCAAAACAGCGATAATGTGTACAATTTATGCAATTTATAACAAATGATACCGAAAACAGTTGCACTTTTGTATACCTGCACGTTGTGGTCACACTCACCTTGCACGTATACAAAAGTGCAACTTTTTTCCCCGGTACCATTTGTCATAAATTGCATAATTTTGTACACATTATCACTGTTTTGGGCCAAACAAAGAGTATGGCTGGATTGCTAAGGAATGTCTGTACTATTCAGTCGTAATTTGACCAAGATGTGCCCAGTAGTTTTTTTTAGTTAGACAAAAAAGTATTAAGGTGGAACTTTCTTTTTGGTTGAGTGTAGTTAATTCTTGAAGTGTCACAGTGTTTTTTTTTCATTGTTACTGGCAAGGCTACTGCTTGGAAGACATTGCTTTTCGTTTCCCATACCTTGAGCTGGCTGGGGATATAAACACGCCATTTTTCTTCCATGTGATCGTTGGTGGTGGGTAGCCATCACTCCCACAATCCAACGTGACTGACCCACCGGTGTCCACTGAGCTGTTACGACTAGCAACGATAACTGGCTGCGGGGGAACTGGTAGAAAAGAGGAAAAAAGTTTTAAGCTCGTCATTCACAAGTCACTCAAAAGTCAATCACAAATCAATCACAAGTAAGTCTCAAATACTGGGTGAGAGAAAAAAAATACGAAACCCAAATGTCGGGACCATTGTTTTAGTGAAGTTCTGCATGTACATGTACCACTTTCAAATTCTAGGATATGAAAGCCCAATCCATAAGTTTTTTGTTAGTACAAGAACCATTCAAATCACTCATGTTCTTTTCAAGTTACGGAGTTTTAAACACAACCACCGTTTTAAAGTTCTTTCCACGGATCACAAAAAAAGGTGTGCGCTCTTTCAGCAAAACGAAAACAATTCACACACATCCTTATGAGATTTGTTTTCGTTTTGCTGAAAGAACACTGAACTATTTTGTGATCCGTGGACAGAACCTTAAAACGGCAGTTGTGTTTACAACTAATAAGAAATGACTTAATTTAAACTCTAAAAACTTGATCAAGATACAAAATATACCGTTTGTAATTTCTGGCAAATTTATACACCTTTATCTGTTAACTGGATGGATTTTGAACGCTTGATGCTTACCATGGACTTTCAGGTCAAAGTATTTGGCACTTTCCCCGACAATGTTGGTAGCTACACAGTGGTATCGTCCATCATTCAGTTGTTGTGCATCTCGGATCTCCAACACCATGCCACCATCTCGGATGATGATGTTATTCTGTGACCTAAAAAAACAAATATTCACCAATTTCTGTTGGTTGCCATGTGATACTATTCAAGAAAATAGAACTGGGAACAAAACATGGCAATGTAGGAAAATTCTTGGATGTCTTACTCATCTGTAACATTCAAAATTATCCGTAAAAATACCACCCCCTTCTTTTTTTAGTTTGGGCCAGCCCCTAGCGTGGGCCCCCATACACACCTGGCCATGAGTTGATTGTCTTTAAACCACTGGATGTTTGCGACAGGAATAGCGATAGTAGGACACTCCAGAAGGACTCTGTTGTTCTGTATAACGGTGATGTTGTGAAGGAACTCAGCGTTGTCTATCTCTGGTGGGACTGGGGGAAAATACAAGAAGATCAATAGAATCATTACGCTGTCAAGTGGAATCGTAAACTATCATTCATAAATACGTGACATGGTTTAAGCATCTTATTGGTTGAAAAGCCGTCAAGTGGGTGGTCTTAAACCATCATTTAAACACCTGTCAGCTATGTTTGAAATCCGTGTTTAAGACCGCTACAGGCCGCGCTGTGCCGCCCTGCGCCGCGCCGCGCCGCACCGCACCAGCTACAGCCGGCTACCGCCTGCTACTTAAAGAACCATTGATATGATCTCTATATAAGACACGATGTTGAGCACATCGCGCGCGCAAAGCACACCATAGAAGTGGGCTAATCTGAAACACTGTAGTAAAATGGTGGAACAAAATCACTGAAAGTTTGTCAACTTTTCAACTTTTGATCGAAAAACATATTGTTCTCCTTTGTTTCTATTGGAAACTCACACTCCATAAAGACCAAATGGTGGGGGTCCCATTGTCCCCATACAGTGATTAATGGATTAATTTGAATGACAGACAACATACCATGAACTCCAATGACAAAGACCTTGGTAGCGTTCCCAATACCGCTCGACGCTACACACGTGAACTGCCCAGCATGGATGACGCTAGCTCGGCTGATGCTAAGTGTCGTCCCGTCCCGACTGACCCGGACACCAGGTGTATTATGGGTAACCCGCTGGCCCTGCTTGTACCAGGTGATGGTGGGTTGTGGGTTACCGCTAGCGTAGCAGGGTAGGTCCACGGATCTGTCTTGGGTGACGGTGATTGAGATGGGGTCGATGGGGCCGGAGCTGTCGATGACTGGTAGAACTGTAGGAATAGGGGAAGAGACCAATCCGGTGAAATTAACTTGATGATATTCAGGAAACTTAAGTGGAATTGTAAAGGTACCTACAGATAAAATTTTCATGACTTCATAATCCCTGTGTAGTTAGCGATAATCAAACTACATGTATACATTTAATGTGCAGGCATGCGCTGAATGCCACTCAAAAATTCATCAAAATTCATCTATAGGGAAGGGAAAATGACTTTTCAAATTTAAATTTGTGACAACAATTATAAAGCCTTCCTCATTAAGATCAGGACTTTAATTTTTCGCTTCTAAATGATTTTCTGCCGCCCAACCTTCACTTCACCAATGAAGTGCCTGGGTTTTGTAGAGATGACACACATGAATAGAAATATCACATTTAATTCTGAAAGCAGGATTTATTTTTAAACTTTTCTTTCATTCATTATCTCCTTCAACATCACTGAAATAAACGTTAGTCACAGTTTTCCCGTTCATTTCGTTGGGTGCAAAATTTCAGTCACAAAACAAAGTTGAATTTTGGGGGTTTTAATTTTGTTTCAACATACTTCAAATATTTAATCATTCTAGCAAATGCATCCCTCATGTCCTTATTTAATATAATTAGCGGGATGCCGCGATTCGCGTGGCACCCGCTAGCTAGTCGGTGCGCCCTCAATTGACGTACTTTTGAAAAGGTGTTCATTATACAGTCAGGTTTGGAAATGCTATACATTTTTTAGTGTTTTCATCGAGATAATGTTGTAATATTACTATTCAAAGTCTCAAAGAAACGTTTTGGGGTGTTTTTATAGAGTTTATGTTGTAATATTTAAGTATTCAAAGTCTGAAAGAAACAAAATTGCCAAAAATGCAGAACAAAACAAATAAATCATTTTTTTTCCCCCTTAGCCAACGGTGACTTCAGAAGATAGTGAAATCGGGGCATATATACCAGTTAAGGAACTGCATACAATAACAAAGCCTCTCCATTAACTATTGCATTTTGTGCCTGCTTTTTAGGTCTTTTGCAAAAAACGTGACACACAGACAACAGACAGACAGACAGACATCAGACAGACAGACAGACAGACAGCGTAGGATCTTTTAATATAGGATTTGCATTTCCAAATTCAATGCATTTACATCACTTTGTGTTGCCCACATACCTTGGACTTCGACATTGAATATTTTCTTGGTGCTGCCGGCCTTGTTAGTGGCACGGCATTCGTAGGTCCCCGAATCAGCCGTCTGAATGCTACTAAACGTCAAGACTTGGTTGTCGGCTTGGGTGAAGAAGTTAGGGTCTTGGTTGGGTAGCGGTTCCCCGTTCTTGTACCACACGATGGTTGCCGGGGGTACGGAGTTCAGGATCTCGCAGAACATGTCCATACGTTGGTTGAGGAGAACTGTGAGGAGGGTGATGGAGGACGAGTTGCTGATCTCTGGCTCAACTGAGGACAGAGGAGAAGTGGATATTGGTGGATAAGGATAAGGGAAAGATGTGACAGCAAAAGATAGCAGTACAGTTGCCGATTCCCTGGTTTAACTGTGGAAAATGAATAGGTGGATAATTTGTGCGACGTTCTGGCAAAATGAGACAGAACTGGGCACAGGTCATAGTGGAGACAAATGAAAAATCCGAATTGGGTGATTTTTTTTTTATTTTCAGATTTATAGATATTTGTAACCCTTAATATGTCTACAACACATGTTACAGAAAAGAATAAAAATCATAAAATAAAAGTGTTTTTATGAAAACCAATTGACACTTCGTAACTTGAAACTTTAAAGACCTTTTTTCTCAGTATTTTTTTTTGACATGTCGATAAATGCCAACTTTAAACAGACATAACTTGTCAGCAGAATGTCTGATTGAATTGCAACAAACAGTATTGTAAGGAGAATTCTATTGTCTTTTTTAACATCCGCAAACCCTCATTTCGACCTCTGCCAAGTTCTGTCTCATTTTGCTAGAAAACCTCACATTTGTGGATTGAAACAAAAAATTGTTCAGCTATGAAAAGCAAAGAGGACATTAGTGGATACGGTAAAGGTTTGAACTAAGATGGCAGTACAGCTGTTGATCTCTGGTTGTGCTGTTGAGTGGGGAAAAGTGGATATTAGTGGATAAGAAAAAGGTTTCAACTAAGATGGCACTACAGCTGTTGATCTCTGGTTGTGCTGTTGAGTGGGGAAAAGTGGATATTAGTGGATAAGAAAAAGGTTTCAACTAAGATGGCACTACAGCTGTTGATCTCTGGTTGTGCTGTTGAGTGGGGAAAAGTGGATATTAGTGGATAAGAAAAAGGTTTCAACTAAGATATCAGTACAGCTGTTGATCTCTGGTTGTGCTGTTGAGTGGGGAAAAGTGGATATTAGTGGATAAGAAAAAGGTTTCAACTAAGATATCAGTACAGCTGTTGATCTCTGGTTGTGCTGTTGAGTGGAGAAAAGTGGATATTAGTGGATAAGAAAAAGGTTTCAACCAAGATGGCTGTTGATCTCTGGTTGTGCTGTTGAGTGGGGAAAGTGGATATTAGTGGATAAGAAAAAGGTTTCAACTAAGATGGCACTACAGCTGTTGATCTCTGGTTGTGCTGTTGAGTGGGGAAAAGTGGATATTAGTGGATAAGAAAAAGGTTTCAACTAAGATATCAGTACAGCTGTTGATCTCTGGTTGTGCTGTTGAGTGGGGAAAAGTGGATCTTAGTGGATAAGAAAAAGGTTTCAACTAAGATGGCACTACAGCTGTTGATCCAGAGTTGGCTGTTGAGTGGGGAAAAGTGGATATTAGTGGATAAAAAAGTTTTGAACTAAGATGGCAGTAGAGGCTGGTGATCTCTAGGTGAGCTGTTGAGTGGGGAGAAGTGGACATTAGTGGATCAAGATAAAGCGAAGATGAGAAGTGCACCAACTGTAATCGATGGGAGAAGTCAGACTTTTGGGGTTTCCTTTCACCGACACGATGTTATAAAGATGGAAATATATGCTCAGTGCTATCTAAGGCCTTATGAGAAAAAAAAGAGTATATTTTATGAAATAGAATAAATATGCACAACATGGTTTTGTTTTCATTTTGAATGTAACGTTGTAGAGTGCAGAATATTTTGATTGGGAATGTTCCTGACTTGGCAACCTGAACCCAAGTAGCCGCATTCACATTATATCCCAGTATTCCCAATTGGGAATATTCAATATTTAAACATTTGAAGCTCTACTTTAATATTGTGATTACTCACCGTGGACAGTGACATCAATGAAAATGCTGAAATTGCCCACTTCGTTGACAGCGATACACTCATACGTCCCAGTGTCGCTTCCCCGGATGTCCCTAAGTATCAGCGTGCCGTTATCGAATATCTCGGTCTCATACGGATCAACTGGTATGCCGTCCTTCAACCACATGATATCCGGTTGCGGGGTACCGGTGACGGGGCAGGTCAGAAGTACGACGGATCCGTACCTGGGGGTTTCTGCTGTCAGTTGGGGGCGAGGGATGTATGGCGCCTCTGTTGAAAAAGAAATAGTTTGTATATTTCATTAATTCATTTCATTCACAGATCTAAAAAGGAATCAAGCTTTTTAGTGATATACCATTTCTAGTCCGATGACTTTATTTATGTAGCTTGAAATTTTGCCTAATTTGGGAGTAAGTTGTGAGTAACTTAAAGAGGTCAGTTAAGGCAGGGAATGTACGATGCCTTGGTGGGAGAGGAAACTTGAGAATTTTGTAATGTGTTAAAGATATAGTTCAAGAGTGTCACAAACATCCATCTTTAAAAAATAAAATAATTTGTAATATATAATTTGACTACAACTTTATGACTTATATTGATTTCAATTACTATTTTACTGGTTGCAGAGAGGAGAACATGATTTATGTACACGTAATTTTTACGTGACAAATACATTTTTAATCTTGAATCTTGCATCCCGTGTGACTTATATTGATATTAATTAATATTTTACTTGTTGCTGAGAGGAGAACATGATTTATGTAATTTTCACGTGACAAATACATTTTTAATCTTAAATCTTGCATCCCGTGTGATGGAAATGCATAACTCAGCCAGGAAAAAAAATAAGATTGTTGCCCATTACAAGTCTGAGAGAAACTCAAGGTAAGGAAAGGTGCAGTTGACAGAAACGAAAAATGTAAAGCGAAATGAGAGATTTACCGATTCAAAAGAAAATATGATTTTTTTTGCTTGAAGGAGAGCAGATCATAGGATGAATTGAAAGAAGGCCTCAGGCAATGAGTACCACAAAGATGCCACGTATGGAAAACAGCTACTTGCATTACTCTAAGATATTGATGTTACACAAGATTTTCTACGATTTATCGTTTTGCGTTTGTTTGTTTAAAATGCAAATTGCCCATCACAAGGCCAAAGGCTACTCGAGGTGTGGGCTACAGAGGACAGTGTGGAAGAACCAGCCCCTCACACTGATACGAGACAAGATAATCTAATCTCTTCACAATATTTATAGGGTTGGGATGGGTAACTAGTCCACTGCAAGGCATTAATAATGCCTCCACCCATAATAGGCGTAGAAGTGTCATAGCCCAGGCTGGGCTTGAAGCCACAACCTGCCGAATTACCCGCAGACCGTGGATTCAACACTTCAGACCACCAGGCAATGGCACTCCACGAATAAGAAGTAGGGAAACGAAGACACAAATTGTTTTGTTTACCTTGGACCTTAAGAGTGACCTCTCTCATCTGGAATCCAGCCACGCTGTTGGCCAGGCAAGCGTACTGACCAGTATCCCCTACCCTGGTGCTGTTGATGACCAAGGAGCCGTCCAGCATGACTCTCATGGCCAGGCTGTTCTTGGGGATGTCTTGATAGTTCTTCTGCCAGGAGATGTCTGGAGGAGGGAAGCCCGACGCTCGGCAAGGAATGACGACGGATTGACCCAGGCCGACGGCGATGACCTCCTTCAAGGGGTCTTCAATCACAGGTGGGACTGTTAAGGAAAAAGAAGGCAAAAAAAGACCGACAAATAAATAATGACTCAAGAAATATGGAATTTTGCAAAGAATTTGAATAGTATTAGTTAACCCTATCAATGACTCTCGAATGTCAAGGTTCCGGTGAACGAAATTATTGGTTAATTTCAAATTGAATTTGACGTTTGAACCATCAGGAGGGACTACACACAAAAAAGATCAACTATAGCTGTTATTCAATTCAAGTTTGCCTTTTTGACACCAAATTCATGCTGGGTCAACATGTTCGCTCAAAATACATTTAGGTTTGGCCTGACTAATGAACATCAATCTGAAACGGGTGTAAATATCCTGAATCTTCAAAAATCAAATAGCATTTTTTTTTTTGCATTTTGAGGTATTCAGGAATGAACATTAGGGATACTTGAAAGCCTGCAATTACTACAGTTCTTCAATGATCCTGATTTTTATAGTATCTGTCACCTAGAAATCCTGTCATTTCAGCGCCCTCTGTTGCTCAGAATATGGCCCATTGGTTCCCTGCACAGAAGTGGATATACTAGGGACCAGGGAACCGTCCTTACCAAAAATTCTATGGGAATTAGGCCCCCCCAAAAAATACTCGGTCTCTGGTCAGCGCGCCCGCCGATTTTAATCATACGCGTCAACCTTTTTTTCTTCTTTAAATTAACACGGAAGCTACAACAGCGCCCTCTATTGCCGAACCTCCTCAAATTTTTGTACCAAGGAATGGGGAAATTGCACCAAGGCAAATGACGGAGGGCACCAAAGCAAATTATGAAGGACACCAATGTATAGGAGGACACAACAAAAGCAAAATAGTACCCACCTTGTCTGTACAATCCAAGCCTGAAAAAAAAAAAAGGCCAAAAAACAAAACAAAAAAAAAACAAAAAAAAACGCGTCACTGCATCAATTCCGGAACTTTGGTCTGACCAGAAACTGATTTTTTTTTTTTTGGCCTTAGAGTTAAGCAAATTCACAGAACTCACCCTGCACTTCAACGATGAAGATGATGGAGGCATTACCGGCCCAGTTCCGAGCGTGACATCTATAGATACCACTGTTGCTTCTCTTGGCGTCCGGTATCTCTAATGTGAAAAAGCCGCCAATTTCTCGACTGGGGACATTGGCGGGCAGGATTTCACCGTCTTTCTCCCATTCTATCCAGGGAGCTGGGGTCGCCTCGACGGAACAGGGCAAGGAGATCTGGGCGTCTTGGTGAACGGTCACACGGATGATGGAATCTCCAACGATGCGGGGGTGAGCTGTTGACGAAAGGGGGTGAAGGTCACGGGAAAACGTGCGTTTAGAATGGATTTAATAGTAACGTTGGTGTTCCAAAGTTACACCAAACCGACTTATTCCTTAGGTTGGAAGTAAATTCTATGTTTCAAATTGCATACGCGATCTGTCAAACGATTGCAACAGTTGTTCAGAATGACTTGACCAAGTGTCTTGATTTCAGACAACACTCTGATAAATGGAAAATTAGTGGATTATTAAAGCTCACAAGTATGAAACCCAATTCTATTTGGGTTGGCGTGGGTTACTTTTTTATACGTTTTAGTTCACCAAGAGTCTAGAGCACCAGACTAAAACAGGTGAAGGTGCAACTCTTTGCAATTTTTTGTTTGTTTTGCTTTTTCAAATCATTATTCAAAATCAACATTTGTAACATTACAACTCGTCTGAGGTTTAAAATTAGGTTTTGCCCTTCACCAACGTATAAACACTGTGTACTCAGTGTATTACCTCCCGAGTGAAAGTTGGAAAAAAATCACTTGCTTGGGACTCGAACCCACAACCTCCTGCTTTCTAGTGCAGACCTCTTACCACTCGAACACCGAGCATGCTGGATGGGCTGGCTGGTTTAAATCTGAGCTTGACAATACAATTGAAGAAAACCTGCAGGAGTAGGTTTCTTTTTTGGTAGAACAAGTTTGCCTAAAAGTTGAGTTTGGGTAAAGAGGTCTGCAGAGTAACGTTAACCTACTTTGCACATCAATGTTCCAAGTCTTTGTCGCATTCCCGGCCAAGTTGAAGGCCAGACAGCTGTACTCTCCAGCATCCTCGATTCTGATGGCATCGATGTGCAAGACGTCGTTATCGATAGTGATGCCGACGTCGTTATCGGTCAAGAGTTCGCGGCCTTTGAACCACATGATGAGGGGTGGTGGGTAGGCGTCCGTGATGAAACACTGGAGATCTATGGGCATTAGCTCCGAGACTGGGTATTCAGTTGGGGTGCCGGAGTTGGGGATGCGAGGCGGAACTAGGAGAAGATGAAAAGTTGAAAGCAAAATTAGTTAAGGTGGAGAATTTTTCAGAGCCTCTATGTTAGGTGTGGTTCTTCGGTTTGGGTTTATTTCTTCTTTCCAGTAAAGGAGTACAAGTGTCATTTTAATGAATTATATTTAATTGCTATGCTTTCCCATAGCGTAAAAGTCTTACTTGGATATTTACTGTCACTTAAATTGACAAGTTACAGGGAAACAAGGTATTTTTATAAACAGTAGTTTCAAAGAATTTGAATCAACATTAACAAAATCAAGAACCAACATTTACCACAATAACTAAATGAACAATAATGTCTTCTTAAATGGGAAAATTACAAAGCTGAGTTTACGGTCCTTTCATGTTGTTTGTTACAAAGACATGTTAAAGCGTGGGATCAGGGAACTCAGCATGAATAATTTTGTTGAAAGCATGAAACGAATACAGGGATGAGATTATCCACTGACTTATCACCGTTTGCGAGTTAGCCACGCCCCTTAGACAACCCTATGGAATTTTTGTACGTTAACTTTTGTTTGTCTCAGATTTTGCGCGTTCCGCCTTCATCAGTATATCATGTAATTGGACAATATTTCACAAGCTGCGTTGATGCGATTCTCCGCGATAGGTCAATTATAAAAAAAAACCTGAAAATTTAATGAACGGTCTGAAAGATGTATTTCTGTCTGTACTGAGAATGTCTCTCTCAGATTCAAAAATCTCATACCTGTGAATGCAAGTTTGAAACACAAATCAGCAGACGAAATGATTTATTTGGACAATCCATTCAAGTAAATAAAACACAGCTAGCTAAAAAACTTTCAAATTTTGTTATGAAGTTAAAAACAGAAGAAACTCACTGGGCACAACCAGATCGACGCTGTTGGATTTCACCCCGACGCCGTTTTCACCGACACACATGTATCGCCCGCTGTCCATGGCCCGCACGCTGCGTATCAGCAGCGAGCCGTCGGGAAGCTGCCGATACTTGCCACGATTGACCGAGACCGGACGATTGTTCTTGAACCAGCGGATGCGCGGCTTGGGATTACCGGTCATCTTACATGGGATGATAGCATCGTTGGAGGCGACAGTGGTGACGTTCTTTGGGGTGAACGGGTCATGTACGGGAGGAGCTGGAAAAATCACAGAGCGAAAAAAAAAAAAATCATCAGGACACCTTTACTTTTTGAGACCTGCTGCGAAACTGAGTGAGAATAAAAATAAAGTTTCAAAAGTGTAACTCTCCTCTTACTGCATCCTGTAAAAATGAAGGCTTTCTAAAAGTTTGCAATTTTGTTTTTTTTATTTTGAAACTGAAAAAATAACAAAAATATGGTTCTATAGAAAAACAAGAGCTTGAAACAAACAGAATTAATTAAGTTGGAAGTTGTCTCAAGTACAAGATATACAACTGTCTGATTTGGAAATTTGTGATTGACAACTAGGTCTTCTTAACCACATTGATTTAAAATTGTGAGAAATTGGTTTCTTCATTCCAAGATTCAAAATCAGATTCACTTTTTATAGTTTCAAACCAGATGACCAACATTGTTCTTTTTTTCATTTTTAATCCACTCTGCTTCGTAAAGTTGGGTTTGAATCTTACCCTTGCCAACCAAAATTCAGCTACTAATTTGGACAATTATTCAGGTGCCATACCGAACAACAGAGGGCAAAAGAATGTTGCAACCTGACGCCACTTTCTTTTATTACATATTAAAAAAAAAAAATTATCTCAATAAAGGTCAGTTATGGCAAATATGTTGAAAAGACATGAATCTGGGACTGAGAAATTCCAATTTTGTTACAAAATTTTCTTGACTCTCCCTAGACTTTGTACACAACTGCTGAAGCAGCGTCTGGATACTACTTTCTTTCCACAGAGGGCGCTCTCCAAATTCTTGACAGTACTCACTCTGTACGATGAATGTCATTGAGATGGAAGCATAGCCGGCGTCGTTCTTGGCGATACACCGATACAGTCCAGCGTCCGAGGCATTCACGTGGGTCAGTCTCAAGGATCCAGTGAACATCATCTCCATGTCGGGATCCTCGTCGGGATCTAAGGCCACTCCGTCTTTCTCCCAAGTCACGGTGGGTTCCGGTACGCCGGCCGACTCGCAAGGGAGGACAACGGAGGAGCCTTCGATGCGCGTCAGGGAGGTCTGGACTTGAGTGATTGTGGGATGGACTGAAGTCGGGAAAAATAAAAACATTTGTAAACGCTTCTGGCTTGAGTGTCTTAAAGGGAATGTACATCATTGGCAATTGTTGTAATTTTCAGAAATGAACTATTTGAGGGGTTAGTATAATAGATCAAATATTGTTACACTGACATGTTTGAAGTTTTGTGTTCGAAAATGCTGGGAAAAACTAAGAAAAACAAAAACGTTCGAGGAGTCTGGTTCCCTGACTCCACTAAAGATGAAATGGATCAATTTATAGATGCCAGAAAATTGTAAGGTAATGGAACCACTCTAGCTGGCCTGCACCCGTTCATGAACATGTAACCAATAGCAAACAAAATTTGGACTGAACAAAAATGGTAAATTGGAGCAGTAGTTGAGAAATAGTCAGGTTTTTCCTACGGTGGTCGGCTGACCACCGTTGGAAATTTATACAAAATACCAATTTTCTTGAAAATGACTTCACACCTGGTGCCATAATTTACAGGATGCTTTAAACTGTCATTTACCAACATCCTAGTAAGGTTTTTCGTAAAAAAAGGGAAGTTTTGTTTTCCAATGTTTGCAAATGTTGTATATTCCCTTTAATAGCACATACAGGGTATGATATCGAGGAGACACTAAGTAGAAATTGCCATACCTCATACATATTCATGATCGAATGCTGAGTTCTTACTGGTCCATTCACCATCACGTGTCAGTCGCTAGTTTTGCTGTTTACCAAGCACGCACGCCAGGTTTCACGCACAGATTAAATATGTATGCACTGGTTACCAGTGTGCTAGTCTAGTTCGCATGGGCTTTACGAAGCAATCGTGGAACTAGCGCACGGGGGTAGTGCGCACGCGTGAATATCGCCCTAGCAGCATGCAGCAGCCACATGAAAAGATGGGGCACACGCACGATAACATTTTGTCGAGAAAATTTATGCGTAAATTCATGAATTTTTTTAAAAATATGTATGAGGTATAGTAAAACAAATAAAACATTGATTTCCATCACCCCGACGCAAATTCCATCTTATGAATAAATAAAAAGTGGTTTAGTTCGGCTCGATAGGCGATATTAGCCCCCCTCAGTTTTGGAAGTTGACGGACTAGTTCCCGTGGCGTACTTCCAATACCTCGGGGAGCAATATCAACCCTCACACCATGTTTTATTTGTGTTATATGTCACAGTAAAGTTATCTAGTAAGCACAAATCTGCAGGGAACCAGTCGCATGCAAGTGTACATCACATGACGTTTAGGCTGGTAACCAGTTGTTGTTCACTTATTCCTGAAAAAACCTACATTTTCAAAAGCAGTTAAATGCAAATTTTAACTCATGTGACTGTTAACCTCAAACAATACAGACTGATTAAGAATTGAATCCATTGTATGAAGACCTACATAAACTCCGTGACTGAACAACTTACAGTGGTTTCAAAGATTATGTCTTGAAAGGTCATGTGAAACTCAAAGATTATGAAAAATTATGTCTTGAAGTTTTTGTCAACAGTACTTACCCATGACTCTCACGTCAACAACTCTCATAGCTTAGGGATCAATTTACAGTGTTTTCAAAGATTATGTCTTGAAAGCTCATGTAAAATTTAAAGATTATGAAAAATTATGTCTTGAAGTTTTTATCAAAACTTACCCATGACTCTCACGTCAACAACTCTTGAAGCGTTCCCAGCGACACTCTTGGCAGTGCACATGTAACGTCCTTGATCCCAGACAAACACAGAGGGAATCTCTAACGTTCCGTCAGGGTGGATGTTATAGCGGAGGTTCTGGCCAGAGACGGGACGGTCCTCGAACCTCCAAGCGATGCGGGGGGTGGGGTAACCCGTGGCTTCGCAGGGGATGCGGACTGATTCGCCGGCGCTGACGATGAGCTCCTCGTAACGGAGGCTGTTGATGACTGGCAGGACTGTTGGAGGAAAAAATAACATAATCATCAAAAATAAAGTCAAAAAATTGGTTAATTAATAATGTGCAGGTATGATAAAACTTTTTAGGAATTTAAGTTTTCTTATTTGCAGTCCTTGAACTAATCCCAATTTTGTTTTTACAGAACTAATATTTGAATCTTTTTGGTGATAAAATCGTTTGGGGGGGGGGAGGAGTTATAAAGGCTGTTCTCAGCACATTATATATGTAGTCTAGATCTTTTTCAGCAAGCAAAAGTGAGCACATTTTAAGATTTCATATTCCTGAACTATTATGTTACCCCTTTAACAGTTTACTTAACAGCTTTGACAATGTTTGATGACAAAAGAACTGTGGAACAATTTTAAACGATCAAAAACGTATAATGCCCCCAATACACTGAACTAACATCAAGTTTGAATCAGTAACTACCAAGGTTTTCAATTCGTTTCTAAATACAATTTGGTCAACTTCCTTTGATAGTTGTCACCTACCGTGAACGTTGACATGGAAGTGTTTACTACTATCTCCAATCCTGTTAGTAGCCACGCATTGATACATGCCGGCATCCGCCTCCTGTATCGACGGAATACTCAGCCGTGCTCCGCCCATGCCAACCTAGAAAACATATACGACACACAGGTTAATCCTTTTTTAAATGGAGTTCTCTCTAAATTCTTGTTAAATTGCAACCTAAAATCTAAAACTTAATGATCAGACGACTACCATTAAACCTGCATACTTCATGCGAATCTAAAAATCCTTGCTAAACTTAATCTGCTAATTCATTGACAGATTTTCTACTTCACTTTGTTTCGGTAAGCATTTTTATTTTGTAATTTAACCCATTAGTAACTGTACTGTCCAAAATTGCTTTACTGCACAAAACTGACCCAGAACTGTAAGGTTTTATGGATTCATTAGTGAATAAATACAATGTAATACAATGTAACACAATGTAATACAATGGAATACAACCTAATACAATGTAATAAAATGGAATACAATGGAATGCAATGGAATACAATGGAATACAATGGAATGCAATGGAATGCAATGGAATACAATGGAATACAATGGAATACAATCTAATACAATGTAATACAATGTAATACAATGTAATACAATAGAATGCAATGGAATACAATGGAATAAAATGGAATACAATGTAATACAATGTAATACAACCTAATACAATGTAATACAATGGAATGCAATGGAATGCAATGGAATACAATGGAAAACAATGGAAAACAATGTACTACAGGTGCTTATTGGTTCAATGCTTCAGTTCACCATACCTGTATTCCCATATCCCCTCTGCTAGTGATGATCCTACCATCCCTGTACCATTGGATGGTCGCCTCTGGATGAGCCACTGTTACGTTACAGTGGAGGTAGACGTTTTCGTACTGGCTGACTGAGATTGTCTGTGGTTGGTAGATGGTGTTCTCGCCTTCAATGTGGGGTCTCACTAAAATAGAATTAAGAGAAAAGGTAAATTGATTAACATTTCCAAAAGCATGAGTGTATGATTCTTGCTATTTTTTTTAATCGATGTACAATTTGAAAAACAATAGTTCTCAGTTCATCACACTTTCTGGATGGAAAGTTCAAACTTTATTGATTGATTTTTTTTCTCAAATAAACAATGACAGTTTGGGGAACCGCCATCATAAGGCTGGATAGCCCCGTTGGCAGAGCAACGGAATGGCAATCCGAAGGGCGCAGGTTCAAACCCCAATGCAGTCAATTGCTTTGCTCAACTTTGAACATTACTGATTGAATTAGATTGGTGTCATTTGAAAGGTTTAAAGTTTCTTAATGTATTTGTCATTATGAATATAATGAGGCTCCCTAACGATAAGTTTCAGATTGAAGAATATCATCGCAAAAGATGTGTTGTAAATAAATAACTAATTACAAATATATTCTCTTTAACCCTAACCTTCCCAAATCCCTCAAAATCCTCTTTGCAAAATGGAGCATTTTGAAGGATTGAGGCTACATGGCAAAAAGGTGTAGCTTATTTTGGAAGATGTACTTTGTCAAGGTCTTAGGCTGGACCTTGTGTTGTTTATGCTCAGCCGTGCATAAGTTTAGGCCTAGATTACACTTGAAAACCTCCACACTGCTCCAGGATGTCAAAGGCTCTGCCTCAACATATTGACAGCAATTGCTGAAGGATTTTGCAGGATTGAGGCAGTGGTCACCCCTCCATGGACCACATTCAAGAAATAACGGAGGATTTTGCAGGATTGAGGCTGTATGCAATTTTTACATGGAGGCAGTTGGAGGTTTTTGCAGGATTGAGGTTGCATCCTAGCAGAGTTAGGGTTAACACTGTCTTACTTTGCGTATCTATGGAGACTTCTAGAGTTGCATTCCCACTCTCGCTCATGGCCCAGCATTCATACAATCCATCGTCGTTAGGTTGTAGATTAGAGATCAGTAAGGTCCCGTTGGGTAAGATGGTGAAACCGTTCTCATACTGACGGATCTTACGTCCGTCTTTGTACCAGCTGATCTCGGGGAGCGGGGTACCGTACGCCTTACAGTCAATCTTGACTTCGCTGTTGATTCGTCGCTCCAGCGTGTTGGGTTGGTCCAGGATGATGACCGGTGCAACTGTGGAGAAACAAATAAGTTGCAGTTTTTTTATTTTTATGTCAGATCTGTCTGTGTTTTTATTCTTCACAATCCAAGATTACAACTTCAAAATTAACATTAGTTGCAACCATGTTGAATTTAATTAAATCTTTCATCATTTTAAAATATTGTTTTCCGTACATTTCTAATCAAATTTGGTTAAAAGAAAATTTTACCTCTCTGGAAATATGCCATCAATGTAATGATAAAGCTTTGTCTCTAAAATTTTGAACAATTATAATCAGTGGAGAAACAAATAAGTTGCAGTTTTTTTATTTTTATGTCAGATCTGTCTGTGTTTTTATTCTTCACAATCCAAGATTACAACTTCAAAATTAACATTAGTTGCAACCATGTTGAATTTAATTAAATCTTTCATCATTTTAAAATATTGTTTTCCGTACATTTCTAATCAAATTTGGTTAAAAGAAAATTTTACCTCTCTGGAAATATGCCATCAATGTAATGATAAAGCTTTGTCTCTAAAATTTTGAACAATTATAATCAGGAACATTTATTAATGGCGGTAAACCAAACAATTCTGTAACTCAAATTAGGTTTTGCCCTTCACCGACGTTTAAACACTGTATACTCAGTGTGTTACCTCCCGAGTGAAAGATGGAGAAAATCACCCGGGCGGGACTCGAACCCACGACCTCCTGCTTTCTAGTGCAGATGTCTTACCACTCGACCACCGAGCTAACGGTTTCGGCCGGCTGGTTCGAATCTGATGTACATAGCAGCGGGTACCGCATAAACTATTATAAGATGGAATTTTGCGTCGGGGTGATAGGGCAAAACCTAATTTGATTTATATCACCCCGACGCAAAAAATTCCATCTTATAATAATTCTGTAACTAGAAAACGATGAAGCAAACAATCCTTGGAGAGAAGATAATGAAAAGGGTCTGCTTTGAAATTTTCTCAATCCTACGAAATTCTAAGAAAGAACTGACAAACTAAAACCTCGTAGTGTACCAAGGGGATTCGAACCAGGGTCACCAGAGGTGGAAGGTGAGGAACGTAGAACTGCACCCCAACGCTTTCCACTAAAATATCGATACAGATAATTCTGAAATTTAACCAAAAAAATCATTAAAAACTCAGCTCACTCTGAACTTCGACTCTGATTTCTTTCGTGTCAGAGCCAGCGTCGTTCTGCACCAGACACAGATACGTCCCAGCGTCAGTCAGCTGCAAATTATCGATGGCTAGGGACCCAGAGAACAGTTGAACAATCCGAGTGTCTTCAAGATCTAGAAGCCGTCCAGCTTTCTCCCAGGTGTGGACGGGGGCAGGGATGCCCACGGCTTCACAGGGGAGGGTGATAGAATGACCGGGGAAAGCTTTGATGATGGAGGGCCCCGCGCCGATACGTGGTGGGACTGGGTGACAAGGAGAGAAGGGAAAAATGGCAATTTGACTTGTGATTTGGTCCGAGATAAAATCAGCTTTAAATTGAAAAACATGAAACAACAGGCTTTGGTACAAAAAAGAATGTAAAAGAACATTTTTTTGGCACAGTAAAACAAACTTTTTTTTTATTACAACAATTTGGCTCCTTAAATTAATCTGAGTCCTAGAAAAGATTTTGTTGTTATCATTTGGGTCCTAGTTCAACTAATGAAAAGTACTTGCATCCAAGTAAAGTTGCAGTTCTTACCGTAGTACGTGCTTCGATTTGGTTGTGGCTTGGTAAGTACTAGACTGTGATGCGCTACTGATGTACTTTTAAGTGACCTCACGATGACGTCATCACATATTATGTGACGTCACATTAAGTGTGCTTTATTCTATGGCCTTTATCTGCAGAGCTATACATGTAGGTCCGATTTGGTTGTCACTTGGTATGTACCTAAGCCGGGATGTGTTATAGATGAAATTGAAGTGACGTCAAGATGACATCATCACATGAAATGTAACGTCACATTAAGGGTGCATATTTATAAGCCTATCCGCTCCGTTCACAAGTACCCCCTCACCGGCAAACAAAATTCAGTTGGGGGTGACCGACTAACGCCATCTTGCCTGACTGCAATTTGCCGCAACACGCGGCTGTACCACTGTGTGTACATAATACAAATCCCCTGGTGTACGTGCGTCACACACAAGGAACGGTGCGCTTCAACCAGCTAAATGTCCCCCCCATGGGACGTCGTTGCTAGGTAAAAGGGCGCCCTCTTTCGATGGCGCACGTCGCTCATAGCTACCGAACTATTGGCACTTATCACTATGCAACTTTCTACTGCACATCTATGTCCTATCAGTCTATAAGATAACATAAAACTACAACAACAAATTGCCGAGAAACAGCCATATGTTTGTCCACAAACATCTAGTTTAGTTTTTTTTTTAAAGCTCAACATAGGACACATTGGGATGATCAATAGGCCCCCCTCCCCCACTCTACAAATTGGCAATTTTGCCAACTTTAATCCAACTTGAGCACTGCTTGAAGTTCACCAAATAATAACTGGCGAAAACTCACCCATAACATGCACAGTCATACTCCTGGTAGTATTGCCAGCCACGTTAGTCGCCACACACTCGTAGATGCCGGAGTTAGCCACTTTAGCCTTAGGAATCTCCAAGGAATGCTCCATCTGGATGTAGTCCTCTCCGTCGATGACCAGCTCCTCCCCGTTTTTCTTCCAGACGATAGTGGGGGGCGGGAAGCTGTCGATGATGCAGGCCAGGGAGACGCGGTCATTTAAGAAGACGTCGTACATCTCGGGAGCGATGGTCAGGTCATAAGGAGGAACTGAAAATGGAATGAAAAATTATCAAAAGTATGATTTGAATGAATTTTACGGAGGCCAAAACTACATACCAAAACGGCAAGATAAAAAGTGATACAAAAGAAGAAAGCTTAAAGAAGATGCTTTTCAGGCCAAATGGGTGCCAAATTGAAAGGCTAAGGCAAAAAACAAAACAAAGCTGAACACCCCCCCCCCCGCCCCCCAAAAAAAATAGTTACTGGAGAAGGCAGTCATTTATTTCTCACATACACAGACGAGTAATTGATGTTGCTCTGAAAAACTTTTAGAAAGAACACAGATGTCGAAACTAGTGATACAGAAGTTTCTGTAAGCTTTTCTTAGCAGCAATTATGAGAAGAATGTAGTATCCAGACGCCACTTCTTTGGTTGTGATCAAAGTCTATGGAGAGTCGAGTGCATATTCAAGTTATTTTCTAACAAAATTGGAAATTTTTCTCAGTCCCCAGATTCATGTTTATTTCAACATTTTTGCAATGACTCACCTTCATTGAGAAAATATATGATGAAAAAACGTGGCGTCAGGATACAACATTTTTTCCACAATTATTGCAATGATGCCGTTGCAGTGCTTTCATAATTCACAAAGATGCTCCCCAACAATATTGTTGGAAACAAAATTGAGCTAGAGTCTTCCTGAACCACTAACAAGCTTTACTAAGTCCTGTTTTTTTATGAATCTCACCATAAATAGTCAATCGGAAGTCCCTGTAGGTAGTCCCGGCCTCGTTCTTAGCGACACACGTGAAGACAGCATCGTCATCCCGAACTGTGGATGCGATACGGAGGGAGCCCTCTGGAGTTTTAAAGTAGCGAATATCCTCGATCTCTTCGCCGTTCTTGAGCCAGGTGATCTCAGGCTGCGGGGTACCGGTGACGGGACACAGGAGGGTGACCGGGAAACGAACCTTGACCGTGTACAGCCTCGGTGTCTCAAGGATGGTGGGGGAAACTAGAGGCAGAAAGTGGAGAAAACAAATTTTTTTTAAAGATATTTCTTTGCTTTGCGTAAAAAAAATGAAAACATAAACAATTCAGAAAATGTGCCAAAAAGAACTGTTACGAGTATACAAAGAAGAGATAGAAGCACCATTTCTTGTATTGGCCGTCATAATCTTTGGCCTGGGTTCCGATCCAGCCTACGCCATAAAATTAAGTTTTCAATTTCTTTCGGATTCTGGGCTTTTCTCAGATTTTTCTATCTCGGCTAACCAAATATCTCAAAAGTTAGCATTTCTTAATCATCCTTGGGCTTTTTTCCACTCTAGAGCAATACATGACACATCATACAAAATTTCTTTTACAGTTGTTATTGGTAAACAATCCCACAAGCTCGGTGGTCGAGTGGTAAGACGTCGGCACTAGAAAGCAGGAAGTCGTGGGTTCGAGTCCCACCCGAGTGATTTTTTTCCAACTTTCACTCGGTGTACATAAACGTCGGTGAAGGGCACAACCTAATTTGATAAGACAGACAAGGTTAGTATAGCAGGTCCCAGAGCCCACACAATTTGTTTCAATTCGGGCGTTTCACAATGCAGTGCGCCACCAAGAGTTTGCCACGGAGAGGACAAATTCGCAGCGCGGGACATTTGAAATTGTTATGTTTTCCGGACAGAAAGTTCGTAAGCGTATGATTCGAGTATCTGTTTGCCCTTTTCTTTTGTTTTATCAATATTGAGTTTTTTGTAAGGCGGCAGAACGCTTTGCCCCAATCTATAACAAATTAGCTCAAGTTTTTTACTGACACTCGTTCAAATGGGCCATGATTTGTCGAAAGTGACCTTGAAAAACGAACTCTCCGTGGCAAACTCTTGGTGGTGCACTGCATTGTGAATCGCCCGAAATGATTCAAAATGGTTATTCACTGGAAGTCTTTTCATGTATCTGGTCTACAACCATGGGACAGATGTAGCCCATTCATTGACCTTACGGGGTAATCCTATACGACAGCACTCCTCATTCACAAGTAATAGTCAGTCAGTCAGTCAGTCAGGCAGGTAGGTACAAAGAGGACAATAGGCTTGCCCTCTGGAACCAGCAAAAATGAAACGCTTATAAAAACCTACCTCTGACATTCAGATTGATAATTCTGGATGCGGATCCAGCAGCATTGATGGCATAGCATTCATACTCTCCGCTATCCTCTTCTATCACACCTTGGATCCTGAGAGAGCCGGCCACCAGTCTATTTATTCTGGGATCGTTGTCTATGTCCAGGGGTACGCCGTGCTTGTGCCACTGGACCATGGGAGTCGGGATACCGTCCACTTCGCAGGAGAGCTCAATGGTTCGGCCGGACTCCGAGGTCAGTTCGGTCGAGCCTGGTGCGATTGACGGGGGCGCTGTTTTAGAGAGACAAGGAAACTGAATGTAACATACTGGGCTACTTTACAAGCCACTTTGGTATCACCACATTGTTCTGGCTCCAGAATCTACTAGGTTAAGATAAGGGGTAGAGATACTCGAGCGTAGAAACCGGAGTCCAAACCAATAACCTTTGGGTGGGTGGTTGGGGGTAAAACTGAAATGACCGATGACCTGCTCAGATTGGACAACCCAAACATGCTATACCTTACCGTTTACCCTTGCCGCAACCAGATTCAACACTGAATGGCATACGTTTGGGCGATGCAAATACCGGTAGTACTTTGGACGTCTTCAATAGGATATACATGTATGTAAATAGCTATTTTTTGAGGCAAATCTCAGAGCTTGCCAAAGGATCCCTGAGCGTGTTGTTACAAAAGGTCATTTGTAGCTCTTTAAGTAGCATACATCTTTGTAGACCTCTGGTTCTAACAAATTTAAAAGAGCATGTCAACGTAGCCTAGGATTTACCATGTGCTGGATCTATACGTGAACAAATGTAGCCTGAGATATCTCAAAGAATGAATGAAATTAACAAGTGAAGTTTACATCAAGGCAAAATTCAAGGTGGTGCTTATCGGTTAGCAGAAATATTGTGTTAACTTGAGCAGGAAGACTGTGCTTACTGTAAGCATATTTCACAGCGTAGACATGCTATTGCTTACACAGGTATGTAAACTTCTAGCGTTACATAAGCAAAATTCTGACTCTGAAATAAGTGCCTACTTTGCTAAGCATACTACCTCCTCAAAAAGGACAAGGCCTTTGTCAGCAGAAAATCTTAGCAGTGTAATGAATTTGGGGTCTGGTCCATAACTCCACTGATAATTTTGGATTCACTTACAGATAATTTGTAGTCGGTAGACGATGTTGGTGCGTCCAGCGACGTTACTAGCGATGCAGGTGTACGTTCCGCTGTCAATCAATCTCAGGGAGGACAGAGCAAGTGTTCCGTCCTGCCTGATGACGTGTCGTAGATCAGCCGGTAGGGGACGGCCGTTCTTCAGCCAGGTGTATTCAGGCGGCGGGTAACTGATGACGTCACACTGAAGGGAGATGGACTGGTCCAGGGTGACTTGAAGGGTGGGGGTATCGCCGTCGCCGTCAGTACTTGGAGGAACTGGGGATGAAATGAAGAGCTATTCAGGTGATTTGATTTCAATTATTTGGATGTGGAACGTTACCTTGAAAATCTATTTGACAAATTTGGCTGGTTACTCAGTTGGTCAGTCCAGAAGCAGTTTGCCCAAACTTGATTATTTCTCATGAAATTTTATTACTACATTATGACAAAACAATTGATCAAAGACCAGAAAGCCACCCTCAGTCTGTTCTACAGATATTCCCATGGAAATTGTTCCACCAGTTTGTTTGACTTGGTTGCTCCTGTCTGGGTGTTTGAGTGTGCAACCAGGCTCTCTGCTTCCTCTCACCCATACACTCTAACTGTGCCGAGACAAAGCGCTCCTCTAATAGCTTTTTTCCCACATTCTGTATCTCTTTGGAACTCCTTGCCTAGTGGCTAGTTTCCTTCCATTCTATGATCTAGCCTCTTTTAAGAGGAATATCAATTCCTACCTCAAGCTCTCCTGATTTTTTTGGGGGTCTTATTTTCCTTCTTTCTAGCCCTTTGCCAAGAGTGTCCCTTATAGCCTTGCTTGAAGCTATTGGAATAAAAAAAATTAAAAACAAAAGAAACTAGGAATACAGCTTTCGTAAAACTCACCGTTGACGGTCAATGTGATCTGTTTGGATATCCCACCGGCCACGTTGGTAATCAGACACTCGTAGGTTCCAGAATCCATATACTTGGCATCAATGATTTGCAGGGTACCAGCAGACTCGTCGATGGCATACTTGGATCGGTCCAGGTCATTCTCCGAGATGGGCATGCCGTCTTTAGTCCACATGACTGAAGGTGGCGGGTAACCGGTGGCGGGGCACCGGAGCGTGACGGATTGTGTCTGGTTGATGACGTACAGGCTCTGAAAGTTGGTGACGTTTGGAAACGCTGAAATCGAGAAAAAGGAAACGAATCTCAGACTGTCCTTTAAACTTTCACCCACTGCGCACGTCGGCAACAACACGTATATGCCTATCCAATGCCACACTGCATCATGCGTCATACGCAAGTGCACACGTGTCAGACTTTTGTGCACACATGTTGGACGCAAACCAGTTCACGTCGGATGACGTGTATACACGCAAAGGTTTTGCGGTATTTGGAACGGACGACTGACAAACACGCAACAAGCGAGGAAATATCTGTCTGCGATCTGCTCACAGCGAGCAAGGCCAGAAATATCAGGGTGTGCTACCTGCAGATTATGGCCTGAACCCATCTGGCATCAAGGTTCGTGAAAAACAATCCCGCGCCTGGGTCCGGTCAATGTCAATATAATCCCGGCGCAAACTGATTAATCACGGCTGCGATTGGTCAAAACACCACGGGACGGGGCTCAATGCATCAGTCTATTGATGAGTGCAGCAAATATTAGCAGAGATGTACATGTATGCTGTGGGTAAAGTTTTACAATAATGGAGAAGAAATGTAAGCCATATCGTTATTGGCTATGGCTACAATATATTGCTAAGTAAGAAACACTGTGACAATCCGTAGCCACTGATTCAATGTCTTGACTTACTGTGTACGGTCAGCGTGATGACGTTCGACGTAGACCCGGCTGCATTGCTGGCTACACACATGTAGGTACCGGTATTCAACTGGTCGGCCTCGCGCACCTAGGATCAAGAAAACAATACTTGGATATATATCAAAAAATCTTGGCAACGTAGGCTAGCATGTACCGTAATTAGCCTATTTGAGATATGGCGGACATGTTTGGAGGGTAAAGTCTCTTGTATGGGCCTTATTCACGAGTCGGCCATATTGAAATGAAAGTGAGGTAAAAATTTAAATTTTTGGAACTTGCGAAGAGAAATGAAAGCAAATTAATTGCTAATTAATTCCAGTCTGCTTCAATGAATAATTTTAAGTTTGTAATGTTAAAATTCCCTAATGTTTAAAGCCAGATTAAAAAAAAAACCCAGTAAAATAAGGCTGCATTGTGCCTGCATAAATAGTCTGGCGCCATCCCATTGAATAGTTAACACTTAATGAAATATGTTCAGGGAACTCGACAAAAATGGCCAACTCGTAAATAAGGCCCATTTACCAAAATTAAGCCCGCTCTAATTAGCCCACTGCTATTGTGTCAATGGTATATGGGTTCAAACCCCTGACAGGAACATAGTGTTTGTGTTCTTGGGCAAGATACTTTACCACAATTGCCTCTCTACGCCCAGGAGTACACATGGGTAACTGTAGGGGTTAGAGACCAGTTTGCACTGATCATAAGCTGCTGCAGAAAACTGGTCTCATGGCCTGAAGAACAGGGGTAATAACTGCGGAGCGCTTTAAGACATTGTTATAAAGCATTACACACGCGCCACGTTATTAGAATAGCCATGCAAAATAACTAGAATACTAATTGTTTTGTGCAAACTTCAGATCATATCAAGACTAACCTGTAGAGTTCCTGATGGCAAGAAGACAAGTTGTGAATTGCGTCGGAGTTGGACGCCGTCTTTCTGCCATGTGACCTCGGGAGCGGGAATGCCGATTGCTTCACAGGATAGCTGGATAGAGTCCCCGGCTAGTACGGTGAGGTCGATGGGACCGCTCTCTTGTATACTTGGAGGTACTGAGGATGGAAACGGGTTAAAACGGTTCAGGAAGCGGAATTGGCATAGTAACTCACTGGCATGGCAACTTGCAGCAAAGTGCTTAAGACTGAGATACATGTCTAACAGTCTTCTGATTCTTAGTCTATTGTCAGTTAATTTTTTGGCGGTATTCAAATGCTTTTTGCCATACATGGAGGAACTGTAGGAAAAAGACAAGAATGGTTAAAGACGACTTTAAAGACCTTTATCATGCTGCCACCATTTCAGTCATGTTTCCTATATCCAATAACAGTACTGAATGATAATGTTTTTTGTGCAAAAAGGAACCAGACTTTTTTTCCTTCCAGCCTCGCTTTGGTTACGTTGATTTGAATGGGAAAAAATCAAGATGGAAATCAACATGATAATGGTCTATTGACTGCCATGGTGATTTGCTGCAAAGTACCAAACCAAAACATTGAAATTTTTTGTCGACACAAAACTGTTCAAAAAGAAAACAACTACAATTTCATTCAAAACATGACGTTACAACCTGACAATGCCTTACCTTGTACGTTAAGATAAATGGTCTTGGTGGAGTTACCGGCGATGTTGGACGCGACACAGACATATTGTCCCTGGTCATTGACGGAGATTCGTTGCAGTGTCAGCGATCCCGACGCATCAATGACGTAGTTGGAACCGCTGCTGCGTAGCTGGGTACCGTCACGGAGCCAGTGGATGGTGGGTGGGGGTAGACCCTCCGACTGACAGTCGATGGTAATGGTGCTACCGATGGTGACGTCAAGGTTAGGGGATAAGGGCGGGTCACTGATTGACGGCGGCACTGAACAAAGATAAGGAAAAAATGTTTGTTTTTTTCCTAATATGAAATGGGTACTGGTGATGGAAGTGACAGGTTTCAGTTCATTGAGACATTTTTATTATTATACATCTGAGCTGGATATTCCTCAAGAAGTAAAAATGTCAGAAATCTTCTGGAGTGACGATGAGCAGGAGTAATTCACTATCGATGTGTTACGTGATAGCGAGCGAGGTCACTGGACTTATCCTAGTGATGGATCTTGCCACACAAGTGGCAACTGATCCAGCCATCGGTACTGCACTGGTATTTAAAACGAAGTTAAATCGTTAGGAAAATTGGTCAATAAATGTTATCTCACGATGGTCAACTGTTTCGCTACGGACTGTAATCATACAAATAAAAGTCACACCTGTAGATTTTTTTTCTAATTCCCTAACAAAACAACACAATAATGCTCAGAAAAATACACCAGTCTGTAGTGAGTGGTGGCCACGTTTGCACTGGCGTGATCTCATTGCTGTGACAATGACCGCTTTTGGCAGATCTTACATAATCACTTCAACAGGGAATAATGTACCATCTCCAGTAATTCATTATTGATATGAAAACAGACATATGTACATTATCAACATCATTGAATATTACATGGCCTTAAGCCAAAACGTTTTTCGCATTTAAATGAGATATTTTCAGTTCAATCTGAATTTTGTGATCAATCCTAAATGAAAATTCCAATTTCCCCAAAGAAACCAAAAATTATTTTCCTAGATTTTCATTCACATAGAACCTTAGGAGAAGCAAAGTGATCAATAAATGTCAAAGATTACAAAAAAAATTAACAAAATAAAAAAATGTTTTAAACATTGGTTAATATATATTGCCTTAAAAACATTTTGCAATCATGCCAAAATGTAAATCTCAGACTTCTGGATCATTGCTCAAAGTAAAAATAATTTATAAAATAAAAATCTACTTACAAAGAACATAGAGCGATATCTCCAGTTCTGTGCTTCCGGCCTTGTTGGACACCATGCAAGTATACGTCCCAGAATCCTCTTCATTGGCAAACGTAATAACGAGCGAGCCCTGGTCCGTGATGTACTGATTCAGCTCATTGGTGGAGATTGGAAGGCCGTTCTTAAACCATGTGACGGTCGGTCGTGGAAATCCGGCCGCTGGGCAGAACAGCTCAACGGAGTCACGGTAGATGACAGAGTAGCTGGTTTCTGTTTCGTTGATTGTTGGTGGCACTGTTGGCAAAGGAATACATTTGTTAAGATGTTGGGGATATATTTTCATTTGAATTTTGTCTTCTCCTGTTTTTGAACTTCCTTTGAGTCAAGAAAATTGCAAATTGTTTCTCAGAAAGTATAGTTCTGTATCACTGATTGTTAGTTGTTCTGTAAGGAAAGGACTAAAATTGGTAAGATTTAGGGAATATTTTTTCATTTCAATTTCCTTTTTTTCAAAATTACATTTCCTAATTGTTTTTAATAAAAATAAAATTTCTCACAAATTGTTTTTGCTTAGTTGCTGATTGTTAAAATTCACATTTAGGTCAAAAAACTATTCAAAATTGTTATTTATGCTGTCTTGCATAGTCCTTCTTCCAATCAAGAAAAGACAAGATCATGTTACTAAAATGTGACTAAAACTACACATTTTCCAAAGGACAGACGACATAATTTTTTCTCTTACCTTGGACCGTGACTTGAGTCCACAACGTGTCGTTACCCGCGACGTTACTGGCCACACACCTATACATGCCAGCGTCATCGAGTCTGAGCGGACGTATCACCAAACCACCATCCTCCATGATGCGATAGTGGGTTCCCTGTCGGATCAGTGAACCGTCCCGATACCAGTAGATTTTAGGGGTTGGGTTGCCCAGGATGGCGGTACAGGGAAGGGTCACAGATGTGCCAATGTTCTCAGAGACATCAGGGCTGTCAGCAATGTCGGGACGAACTGAGATCAACCACGAAAACCAGAGATTTCAAAAATTAAAAATTAAAAAATAGAAAACAAATATCAATAGAAGTAATCTTTATAGCCATCAAAATTACTGTTCTATTAACAAACTGTTTTATCCGTAATAAGTGTGGATAATATTTATTCATTTTTAACTCTATTTCTTTCTGGTAATGAAACCAAGGATTCCTAAAAAGCGCTCTGGGCACTGTAAGCTCGCAAGCCTGAGTAACCTGTAGAGAGAAGACAATGAGAAGAAATTACAGTTTTAGAGATGGGAGGAAAACCCCAGAAGAATATTCTGGGGAACCCACAGAACCAGGCAGGGACTGAAAACCCAATCCGCATGTGGTCCGGGTAGGAATGGAACCTGGGCCACAGCGGTGGAAGGCGAGGAAAGTACTGCTACGCCAACCTGACTCCCATAACATTATTACAAACAATCAAGGCGAATTTCAAAACTCTGAATGAGCCAAATTTCTCATAAACAGCTCTGAACTGTCAAAATGGCAGAAACAATCCGAAATTTATGTTTCCAAAATGGCTTTTCTAACACAAAAAAGTCAAGCTTATCAAGAGATAAGCTTACTGCAAGCACTTGACTGCTTGGGTGGCAAGACCACACATGTATCTTGAGAACAAGACCACACATCATCGATAAAGAATCAGCATTATCAAAGACATCCTTTAAATCACTCCCTGCTCTGAGAAGGAAGTTTGTATCTTATCTTTGCGCCCTCCTTCTTGCAGTTCCAAACATGGCTGAACAAGTTTAACTGCTAAGCTATTTCCATGATCAGGATATATATATGCATTGGTCTTCGCTCTTACCTAAGCAAGTTTGGGTGTTTAGCAAGAATGATCAGGGAACCAGTGATATATTACACCACATATGATCATGGCTGGTAACCTCCTTCTGCTAAGCATAGACTGTAAATGTTTAGGGGCCCCAATAAACTGTTCTCTCTATAGGTTGCAGACCAGTAAATCGGTCCGAATTTGCCTGCGCCGGCCAAATCACGATTTGCGTGCCCTCAAAATCTTCAGTATTTGAGCATGCTGTGGGCCATGAACTTGAGGGTTTGTAAAAAATATGGGTGAAAGCCGTGCACAGGACTGTGAGCTCGTAGTTCCGTTCAATTTGGATGAAATTGGGGCCCTTAAAGCGCTCTATTTTGCAATGGAGTGTAGGCATCGTTTTTCAACATGGCGATGGGCTTCACAACTATTTTCAGGGGTGATCATCTTCGGATGGAAATTTCTCCTAAAAGTCATCAGTTAACCCCCCCCCAAAATTGAAAAGAAAATGAAAGATGATGAAATAAGCTTTAATTTGATGTGTGTCTCGCACACCTTGGAGAGTTGTGAGTATTTTCCCCGAATTTCTGAAGTGTGAGCATTTACCATTGGGGTCTATGGAAGTTTATTTACTGGTCTGCAACCTTCAAGAACTGAGTTGACATTTGGAGAGTTTGATGATCATCAGGACTTACCCAGACCAGTGATGCGTATTTGAGCAGATACTTCATCTCGTCCATGCTCGTTGATCGCTTCACAGACGTACGTCCCAGCATCGTCGATATTAATGTCTACAACACACAACACAAAACACAAGAGTTAGTGACAGTTGTCTGTCACTGTGTGAAACAGAAGAGATATTTGGAACGGATCAGTGGGGTGCTGTGGTCCAATGGTTTCGGTGTTCGACTCGTGTTCCGTGGTAAATGGGTTTGAACCCTGACAGGGAACATGGTGCTTGTGCGCTTGGGCAAGGCACTTGACTACGATTGCCTCTCTCCACCCATGAGTATAAATGGGTAACGTGGGAGGTTGTGGGTTCGAGTCCCACATGAGTGATTTTTTCCAATTTTTACTCGGGAGGTAACACACTGAGTATACAGTGTTTATACATCAGTGAAGGGCAAAACCTAATATTGATTTACATCACCCCGACGCAAATTCATCTGACGAATAATTATTATTATTGTTATTATTTTTCCTGTAAATGTACCCTTAAGGAGACATTTTTCGTCACAACTTATACCTTAGGGAGACACCGGACATTAGGAAGACATTTCAATGTCTACCTAATGTCACAACTCCTATTTAGAGGCAAAATTTTACCGTCGCAAATAAGCTAGATCAATTGCTCATGGTCTGAAACATAAATATACCAACATTCATGGGGGTAGGATAAGGGAAATTGGGCTAGGGGTCATTAAAGTTGGACAAGTTTTGTGCACAACCCTATGGAGATGTCCCCCTAAGGTACCATTCCCCGTAATTATAATTATTATTATTCTCAGAACTTGTGCAAAAGGAGTGGATTTAACAACACATGAAGTTCAAAATGAAAGTTGTATAAATATGTTCCTGTATTTCAAGTTCATAAAAAAAAACAGTGTTCACACACAATCTACTGACGAGGTTTACCTCTAATGATGAGGTTTCCGTTGCTCTGCACAAGAAAACGAGGATTGTTGTCGATGGGAACACCACCCACCCTCCTCCACGTAACGACCGGTAGGGGTGTGCCTCGAGCCATACACGTCATGGTCACATTCTGGCCGTACTGGACACCGATGTCCGCTGGTATGGTCAAGATGGTCGGACGAGCTGTACAGCGAGAAATGTATAAGAATGGCATATAACAAACTGAAGTGGGCGCCATGTCATAACAAATTCCTTGGCTACAAATTAACAAGCGCAGTGGCATATTGACGGGGGTGGGGGGGGGGGTTGAAAGGCCCACCCCCCTTTCAACCCCTGCCCCCCCCCCCCCCACCACCCCCACAAAAAAGGGGGTGGGGAGGGGAGGGTTATTAGCCCCACTGAATGTGCTCTCTGGCCCGCTTGTCACACTGTATGCGGACGCTGTTGAAACCATTGGAATTTTGGGGAAATTGTTTTGCTAATCCCTTGATTCCTTACATTTGATGAAAGATGGTTCTTAAACACTGACATTGAGATTGATCTGTTTCACATATACATATCCAAGTCAAGACTCACAAATTCCAAAGTGGTCTCACTTCTTTTTCCTGTGAAAAATTTTAACTTAAAAAGATTTCACTTGATTCAAACTCGTAAGAGACCTGCAACTTTCATAATTTGTATATCTGAGGTCAATCCATTCATTCAAAAGTGTTAAGCGGATTTTATTTTATTTTGTTCTAACTTCTGGGATAGTAAAAGAATCAAGACTTAAATTACCTCCAACGTCCAGAGTTATAAACGCTGTGTCATTTCCGGCCGGGTTGGTAGCCACACAGGTATACACTCCTTTGTCAATGATCTGCACCGACAGAATCTCCAACGTTCCGTTACTGTGAGCCGTGATGAAACTCATGGCGCTGAGGTCATACCCGTCCTTGAACCAGGTGAACATAGGTGGCGGGATACCGGTGGAGGGACAGTGCAGGAAGGTTGAGAGGGCGCCGGGCGTGGCGAGCTTGTGGTGGGTGGGCATGTTGATGGTGGGTTTCTCTGCGGAGACGTAAACAAGAGGATGGGCTTAAAGGCTTGGTGAATGAAAGTAATCGATTATTCTAAATTATGTTTAGATACCTGTTCTTCTCTTGCATTTTTTGCTATAAAGATTCTTCATGAATCCTGGAAAATCCTCTTAAACCTACTTGCGAATTTTTAAAGGTCCAATTTGTTCAATGCAAGCCTTCAAAATGCATCTTTGTGTCCCATTGAACCATTTCTCTTAATTTTCTTTTTTTTCCCAATTTTTAAGGGTCTTTCTGGTGTCTTTTTGGTTTTTATGCTAATATGAATTTCCATATTCGTGAGCAAAAATGTGATGTCAATTCAGGGAGAAACCTCAATGTTACAGCTATTTCAACACCAAAAGTTGCCAGAGTTTTGGAAATTTTGCTGTTGAAAATTTTGTTTTCTTTGGTGATTCATTGTTGTGTCAGTACATGGCAGTAAGCCGATGAGCAAACTTTTCTCAAAAATGTTTTCAATGACAAGTTTTGGGTTCACAATTTGAACAAAAAAACCCTAAACTGAAAAATTCTTCCTGAAATGACATGACGGCAACAGCGCCCTCAGTTGTCTGGAAAAGCTCGGAAAATTTTAAATCTTCAAAAAATAAAGCACTTTTCAATGCAATTAACCAAAAAGAATGTCAAACGGTTTAGAGGAGTAGAAAGTTGCACAAAATGTGTTCCAAAAAAAATCATCCTCATTAACCCTAAGAGGATTTGGGATGGTCAGGGCTGAACAGTCTTAGGCCATCAGCCGCGGTCCAAAATGTTGGCAACCGGTATCAAATGAGGGAAATAATCGTCATAGCGATTTTTGGCAAGGTATACACCTCCAGAGTTGGAAAATATGTGATAGCATTGCAGCGGTGGCAGCTTTTTGGGTGTTATCACCCTTTTTTCAAAATGTCCATCAAAATGCTTGTTACCATCATTTTTGCCCTGCTTCGATACTGACCAAACCCCCAGGCTGATGGCCTATCTTCTGTTTTCTTAGTTTTTGCTTCCAACCTTCTGCACAGCAGTTCAAAATTTAATACATATGCCTAATGATCTCTTAAAAAACAAAGACATCTATACTTCAACCAACTCAGTTCTTTTACGTTCAACTCTGCTGATGATATATACATTTATTTCATTTCAAACTGAACTTTGGACTTCCTTTTAAGAAGTTCTATGATTTTGCGCTACCTATGTAACTGACTGTAGACAACATCCCAGATATTCCAGCACTGTTGGACGCGATACAAGTGTAGTTGCCCTGGACATCAGGGCTGGCGTTGATGAACGTCAGTCTCCCCTCCGGACCGATGATGAGGCCAGGAATTGTGGGCAATTCTCGGCCGTCTTTCAGCCAAGTGAGTTGAGGAACAGGGAAGCCGGTGGCCGTGCAGGTCATGGAAAAGTTCTGGCCGCTGGTGAAGGTCAAATTGCCTCCGGAGATTCTTGCCACTGCCCTTTCTGAAATCCAAATAAATTTTGAAGAATGAATTTCTTTCCAAATTTGGTCTCTGTTGACATTTCTTACAGCTGGCACCTCCTGATATACTAAAATGAGACTTAGGTCATGGGACAATGTGCACAATGGGATCCTCACTTTGATGTATCACTCGCTTTTCAGTTGCTCGAACCTCACCTTGCACAAACAAGTGGACGCTTTCATAAGACGGCCCCCCTTCATTGGCCGCAATGCAGCGATACCGGCCCGAGTCACCCAACTGGATGTCCCTAATGTGAAGGGAACCGTTCTGGAGTTGAGAGACGCGATTGTGGATGGCCAAGGAGACGAAGGAGTTGGGCTTGTCCCAGGTCATGTTGTACTCCACGGCACTGAAGACCACTTTGCAGGACAGGATGGCATTCTCACCTGGCGTGACGGTGACATTCTCGGGGGTGGCCAGGATGGGCGGGGCCTCTGCATGAGTGGGAGGGAGTAAAAACATTAGACCCATATTTAGTGAATTTTTGAAAATATATATAATGCACCAAAGCTGATTTTTAACACTGAACGTGAAGCTCATGTATATTTTAGCCTCTACATAAAAAGATTTTCTAAAAATTACGTTTTGTTATTTACTCTTTGGATATAAAAAAATTTCAAGCAGGTTGCAACTCTTTTTGACCTAAAGGAACTACAAACAACGCTTAGACCAGATTAAAAACAGCTGACTGATAAGGTAACACAAAGACTGTAAAAAATATCACTGACCATGTTGCTTTAAGATATCTCCATACTTCTTTAATACCTTTTGACATCGACACACTTAAATAACTCACTGAAATGTTAAACCCTAAAAGAAGTTCCATCACATTCATCGTTTTCAATGGAAAAGCCAAATCTTCAGTTTGAAAAAAAAAAACCAGTGAATTAAAAAGAAAACAAGCGCAAACATTTGTATCATAGTCCATGAAGTTTAGTTCTGCTTTATAAAAAAAAAGTTACTATAATTGTTTGGTATTAACAGACAACATCAGAGTAATACATGTATGATGAGTTTCTAGTATGACCTCAACCTTTTTAAACAAAATGACACACATTATCCCAAGGGCATCTCCCAGACAACTCCCTGGAGACGAGGAGCCGACACCTTCCTGACATGTCCCGCTTCCGTCATAAACCTTCCTCCGAGTCAAGGAAAGAGAGAGGGGGGAGGGGGGGAGGGGGGGGGCTTGAGATTTGTCTATTTATCCAATGACACTTGATTGGAGGAAACAGGGGTTCAAGGAATGCCGCTGGGTGATTACCGGTTGACAGGAGGGGTAGGTGGGAGTAACTGGGGCGTGACATGAACGTCTAGTCTGATTCAAGATGCATGGATAATTTAACTCTTTGCGATATATATCTGCTCAGATGTCACAGCTCATTGCTTTAATTCCGTCTAATAACCGCTATTAATACCTAAAGTAGCTAAAGCAGAAAACATTTGCAATACACAGAAAGATTTTGCTTAGCATTTTGCTTAGTAAAAGCAAGTTTTTTTTATTTTTTTTTATAGATTTCATATTCTAACTGGGTAGCCCATTCAGCGGGATCATTGGTCTCCCATGGGGCCCAGTAAAGAGAAGACAATGTGAAGAAATTACATTTTTAGAGGTGGGAGGAAAACTCTAGAAGACTGTTCGGAGGAAAACCCACGGAATCAGGCAGGGACTGAAAACCCAATCCACATATTGGCACAGGCAGGAATCGAACCCGGGTCACAGCTGTGGAAGGCAAGGAAAGTACCGCTACGCCAGTCTCCAAATGTCACAAGATGTACTTAGAACTTGCTCTAAGCTGACTTTTGTCTAGTAAATTATACTTAACAATTACTTGTGCTAAACATCTCTTTAAGACTGAGAACTTGTCAGCGACTGTTGTGTGCTGTCGCAAGGTCGACCTGAGGGTGCCTTAACAGACTCAACTAGCAGTGGGTCAATGTTATAGTTGTCAAATTTATCGAATTTAAACTGGGTAGATAGACCTGTTAAATACTTCAAAATTCACTATCTCGTGATTATATCAAAAGACAAGCTACTCCTATTTCAATTTATTAAAAATCTTTGGACTGCTTTTTCCCGAATGTAGTCAGCAGTGATTAAGATAGAGATTCAACTCGGGATGTATTTCTTACCGGTGATGTCCAAGTAAGTTTCAGCTCGTTTGGATCCCTCTGCGTTGGTCGCATTACAGCCATAGAAACCCTCGTTGGCAGTCACAGAGTTCTGAATTTCATAGGTGGCATCGGCCGTCTCACTAAGGACAATCAAACATGTAACGTTTCTCTTTTAACATGTACTGTTCGTGCTCTTCAACAATTTGAATTGATTTTTTTTCTTCTGACGAATTTGAACTTGCATATTTTTATTTTCATAAAAAAAAACCTTTTGAAAAAGGGCCTCTATTCTTGGTTGCTTTTGCGGAAAAAGAACACACAGATCTGTCCTGTGAGTAGACTGGTTCCCGGTCCATACATTATCGATCCTAATATATAAAGTGGCATGAACCAGTCTACCCTACGAGAACGGAATAACTGTTGGGTCCCAAATAACTTCAAATTTATGAAGTAATTATTCCATAACCAAACATGGGCCGATTTGTTGGTCATTTGATGTCTCGTTCAAAAAAGGGAATAACTTTTGCATTGCTGGAAAAGTAGCAGTTTAAAGGATAAATCTTATTTTTGGGGGGGAGGGGGGAGGGGTATAGCAAAGAGAGTCATCTTTAAAAACTGTACAGAGCTATGGAAATTGACTTGGCATGTTTTCTATAGGTCTTTTCACACTAGACAAATCACACTAGACAAAACATGCAGTGTTTCACAGTTGAAAATATTCAACCCTGCGCCAACCCTGCTTCAACCCTGAGATTGATTTTGGCCCGGGGTTAACTCAACCCTGCTCCAGACAAGGGTTGATATTTTCAACCCGGGTAGTAACCGAGCGAAATAAGCTCAGTTTGCATGAAACAAGTGTGAAACAATTCGGGGATGAACACGGGGTTGAAAAATCAAAAATTCAAACCGGGTCAGCACTGGGTTCACCCAGGGTTGAGTTCAACCCGGGTTGAGAGGCTCTGGTGTGAAAAGACCTTATGCATACAAGGGTCCCAGATTGAAACATTTCCTAACTTTCCCTCCCCACCAAGGAATTCATGCTTTGATTTCTGACTGAATGTCTGACTGACTGACCTGTAATGAGTTGGCTCACTGATGACCTGTCCGTCCCTGGTCCAGAAGACATTGAACGGAATCAGACTCTCCACGCTACACGTGATGACCGATGTGGAGCCATAGTAACCTGGTGTCCATGGCGACATCTTGACTCGAGGAGGGTCTGAAAAGTAAGATGGCAAGGAGCAATCCACAAACATGAAAATAATATACAGTCAGGTGGTTGATAGACACAGGTCCCCAATTCACAAATACACATTCATGAGTTTATTTTTTTAATACTTGGTAACCGTTTTACCAGTCCCTGTTACATCTGACATCTATGATTTTGTGATTCCAGATGCACTCCTTTACGTTTTCTTCCTCCAAGAGTGATTATGTAAAGCAAATGACCTAGTCAACAAATAAAAATTCCTTTGAAGCCATTTTTCAAGACACTTGAATGGCTAATTAAATAGTTCAGGGATGGGAACAATGTCACACTTTGGACCCCAAGAATGAACCTTATACTTCCAAATGCAATAAAGCCAAATTTGAACGAACAAATTACAGCACAACCTGTTAAATCCTGAACAGATGTGGTAAATTTAGCTTCAGATAAAGAAAAGAATCTTAAGATTTGAACAACTTCTTTTGGTTTCAAATAACAAAGTGATATAAAAATCAGTTCACATTATGCATACTGTCAACTGTCCTTTAACCACAAAATTTGTTACTGGCATGGAAAGAAACAAGCTCGATCGGGAATATCTCGGAAGCTGCGGGCCAACAAATTCATGTCCAAAAAAATCTGGTTTTTGACCCCAGTGACCCCATGATAACCTTTGACCCCAGTTTGATCATGTGACATGTTGGGGCTGGGCCACTGATACTTGTGACAAAGTTTGATTGAAAATCGGTCGAAATATGTAGGAGCAATAGACAAAGTCAACGTTTGTTACTAAGTAAGTAACCAAAAGACATCATGAGTTATTGAGCTGCTATCCCACAGCTAATAATACAGTGAAAGATATACACAGGGAGCGGACACAACTTGACAAGATTTTCTTGTATATTTGATGTATAGGTTTACAGTCCAATTCCCAGCAGTGTTCAGCCGATTTCATGATACCCTAGACTCAGGGAATACAAGCCCATCCTCTCCAGGTTGAATTCCCTCCCAACAGACGGCTAGCTCCAGGGTAGGGCATTCTACTAAACCCACAGGAAATCACAAGACTCTTTAGTCTTTAGCCAAAGCAAGTCTCTCAATCACGGACGTCAAAGCCGATTTATTTTGATGTCTCACTGAACTTGAGAAAGACCATCTGTTTCTGATAAAACTTGAGAAATGTCTGTTCGTGTACTAAAATTAATGCATCGACTTCATTTTGGTGGAAGCAGTAACACATAAGGAATTTAGTCAGATTTTTGTTCAATTGAAATAACAAATGAGAATTAAGTGGTTTCTCACAAAAGCTGTGGACACTCCTTGCACTACTTCAGTTTAATGAATTGTTTATATCATGCTCTAAACTGTCAGGGCAGACAAGTTTTTGTGATATACTTTCAGAAATGTTTTTTTTTTTGTAGTTTGAATGTCATTAAGGATATAGCACTATTGCCCGTGGGTAAAACACTTCACCTATTACCTTGGGTAACAAGGGAATCTCTGATAATTTTAAGGGTAAATTTCAGTTCAGAAAACATTCCTCAGGGCTGAGTTCAGATGGGTGCAGGAATGACGACAAGCCCATCCATCAGGGCAACTGCATGTGCAAAAGTTAAAAGTCAAGGTACCCATGTTGGATCACAAGGAATCACAAGTCAATCAAAAGTCCCAAGTCAAGTCACAGGCCACTCAAATGAACTATGACAAAGGCAGTCCTTTGTCATTGTTCATCCCCTGTTACTTGTGACTGGACTTGTGATTTGTTTTGTGATAAATTTGTGACGGGGCTTGTGAATTGACTTGTGAGCCAACTTGCAATGTCCTTGTGAACCATCCCAAGTATCTCGACAGTGATGTTCAATTCATTGATCCTTGAGTAAATGTAAATGTAGTTGTGCTTATTAAACTTTGGACAATCACTCAACAATGCAAATAAGAGACATCTAACCAGGTTTCAAGCTCTCGAGTGCCGTTGGGGTGATCCGCTGAAACTCGTACCCCTCATTGTCAACCCCGCTCACACGGATGTAATAGAACCCCTCCGGAGAGATGATGTCGGAGACGGTGTACAGCGCCCTCATTTGGTCCATCTCGGTCAGGGGGTAGGTGGCAATGGTGTTGCCTTGGAGATCGAGGAAGTCCAGACGACGGAAGATGCCTGGAGGAAGGAGCTCCTTGCCCTCAATCAGGAGGTTGTAGACGAGCCCTGTGGATAGAGAGAGGATTTCAAAGAACTCTCCACATTCACGTTTTCAATTTTGCTGGGCCCAAAAGGCGGACCTATGGTCCTGTGACTGAGTGAGTGACTGACAGGGTCACTGAGTACAAGTCATGATCTTAACTTTGAATTTGGGGTGTAGCTTGAACAGGCAAGCTTAGTCTTCGTTCAACAAGATTCTCTGTTATGAGTCTCGCTGTTATTAGATGTATTACAAATATCATAGATATTAAGCCAGAAACTACTTACATGACTTCAAAAGAAGTTTAAACACAAATTGATAAAGTTCACGATCAAATTAAGACCAAATACAACCAACAAAAAAGTTTGTAAGATTTGGAAAAACATGCAAACTTTGTACACGAAAACATACAAAATACCACTCAATTATAAAGAATAACGGTGTCTTAAAGGGAATGTACAACATTTGCTTTTGTTGTAATTTATGTCATAGCAAACATTGTTACACTGACTTGTTTCAAGTTTTGGAGATGCTGGAAAAACCAATCATGTTCTTGCACTCTGGTTCCCTGACCCACTTAAGATGAAACAGAGCAATTTATAGACGTTGGGGAATTGTAAGGTCAGAGAATCAGTCTAGCTGGCTTGTTCCCCTTCACAGGTGTGTAATCATTTGCAAAGAAATTGTGGACTAACTAAATATGAAACATTAGGAGCAGTTTTAGAAGAAAGCCAATTTTCTCCAACACTGGTTGGCCGACCAGCGTTGGAAATTGATACATAAATACCACTTTACTTTAAAATTTCAAGACACACGGAGCCACAATTTTACAGGATGCTTTAGACTGTCGTTCTCTAACAGTCCAGTTAAGTATTTTGTTATAATTTGATCATTTTGCTTTTTGATGTTTGCAAATGTTGTATCTTCCCTTTAAACTAATACAATTCCCCCCCCCCTTTGTGTTAATACCCCCGTCAAATGAAACAATTGAACATTTTCGGGACATTTTCCTTGAAGAGAGCGCATTGTCTTTACTGTTGCCCCTGTCTTATTTCAAACTCAAGTGTGGGAACAAAAATTGACTGTCTCACAGAAACAACATTGGGGTAACATTAAAAGGTCAAGGCTGCATCAACAAAGCCCAACCCACAGATATGATCTGGCACTGACAAAGATGGATGACTTGAGCAAAAGCTGGGTCAAGCAAGATGACTGTGATGATAAAACAACAGCTAACATTAGCAGTGTCACGATCACCGCAGACGCTATTCAAACAAGAGCGACCTACCAGAAGGCACGTAGGTTTTTTTGTGGGGTCGAAACTTTTAAAAAGTCGGGATACAGGAAACCAAGCCTGTAAATGTTACCTGCTAGGTGAGAATGAGTCACAGTGATTGAAATTCAGTTGTTTAACCTGGTTTTATCTTTTCTTAGCCTTAAAGATTTGTTTTTAAAATGTTTGATAAATTAGAGTTGAGTTTAAAAATTAATAGATTAGTGGTTCCTTTGTTTTGTATTGTCTGGGTTTTCGCCTGGTTTACCTTAAATTTGAGTTTATTGGTATAACCATAATCAATTACATTTTCCTGAACTTGTTTTGCGTGATTTCTCATGTTATTCTCCAAACTTCGGGGCCGAGTCTATAGGAGGCATTTGGAGTAACCTATCCTACTCTCCAGCAAACTAGAAAACTCAATGAAATTTCTTTACCTACAAGAGCCCGGTGTGACGTCATGTTAATATTCAACGTCGGCTTTTTGGAGAATCCGTAGCTGAAATCTAATTGGCTGAGGCCGGTCACACGGACCGTGTGCACGTCGCTGCCGCCGGCCCGTAGGTACCATAAGCCGGGCTTGGGGTTTTTTATACTTAATATATAAACGTTATCTAAATCCAGTTGTTTTTCTACGCCTGGGTCGCCAACTGATATTTTTCTCCCTGTAAAAAAAAGAAAAGGAAAAAAGGTTGGTTAATTAAATTGACAGACTTGTTTACAATACATTTTTACCTTAACTTTTACGTATATTACGTGCCAAAGAGTGTGCTGCGTCTACTGCGCATGCCCAGCAGACACTATTTTGCACAGGACAGATTTTGCAATGACACCGGGTCAAACCCCGTGGTTTCAAGAACCCCTTTGACGCCAACAAGAATCCAACACGGCTTCTACATGGAGTCAGCTCTCCACAAGTGTAAAAGTCAACCTGTGTCAGGACCAGGGGCCAATTTCATAGAGCTGCTTAAGCACAAAATTTGCTTAAGCACAAAAAAAACATTGCTTAATAAAATCAGGTTACCGGCCAAAACTCCATGCGATTGTTATGCTAAGTAAACAACAGCTGAATACCAGTCACAAGCAATGTACATCACATTGAGTTTTGGCCGGTAACCTAATTTTACTAAGCAATGTTTTTTCGTGCTTAAGCAAATTTTCTGCTTAAGCAGCTCTATGAAATTGGGCCCAGGGTTGAGAGAATCTACCCGGGTAGTAAAACCAAAATCTACTGCCAACCCGTATACAAAACTTGTGTATACGTAAAACGGGTTTGCCACATGGGCGTCAATCGGTGGGGGACGGGGGAGGACTAGTCCCCCCCCCCCACACACACTTTTTTCGTCCCTGAAAAAATTGTAGCCTACTTTAATGATTCTATAGCTCAGAATAGCTGATTCAAACTCCAAACTCGAAAATGATGTTTAAAAGATGATATTCTGCTGAAAAAAAAATGGTTTTAGTGCTCAGAAGTTGACTCAGATCACACCACAGAGCTTTTAGAATCCACGCATTTTCGGGGCCCTTAAGCGGGCCCCGAACCCCATGCTGTTATAGTTTCGCGCTCGCATAAGTGCTGATCAAGGTATGTCCCCCACCCTCCCCACTATTGAGAAGCGATTGTTGCTCTTGGTTTGCCATGTCAACCCTTGTTCGATCAGACACAGGTTCTGCTGACAGTGGACCTGTGTTAGGCCAAAAAAAAAAAATAAGTCGGTCTCTGGTCAGCGCGCGCGTCGATTTTAATCATGCGCGTCGATCTTTTTTTTTTTCCAAAATGTTCCGCGGTAGCTCCTCTATTTCCGCACCTCCTCAATTTTTTTTTACCAAAGAGCACCAAGGAATGGGAAATTGCACCAAGGCAAATGATCGAAAGCACCAAGGCAAATTATGGAGGACACCAATGTACATGAGGACACCAAAAAAGCAAAATAGTACCCACCTTGTCTGTACAATACAAGCTTGAAGAAGAAAAAAAAAAAGCACAAAAATTTTTTAAAAGCCGCGTGGCCGCGTCAATTCCGGAACTTTGGTCTGACCAGAGACCGAATATTTTTTTTTTTTTGCCTTATTTTCAACACGGTTAGGGCTTTCAGGTCCGCACCCACCTGTAGGATCGTGTAGCTCTATGAACGGATTGGTCCCGCTAACAGACAACGTGATCTGGCTGAGGCGTGAGTCGATGGGCAGTGAGTGGGCAGTGATGGTGCCCTCTTCGTGGTTGGTTCCAATCAGGTTGACCTTCCTGGACTGCAGGGAGATTTCTACGAATTTCAGAACCTGGCATGCATTGAAGACAAGACAAAAGGTTTAAGAATCTGTAGATATGAAAATCTATGAAGAATGGGTCAACTATAACGGACAGAGAGCAGAGTCAAGAACACCCCCCCCCAAAAAAAACCAACAATCAAATAGAGGTTTTTATTTCTAATGTATAAAAGAAACCCTCGGCATTTCCCCTCATGTTTAGAGGTGTTTGTAAAATAAGGGTAGAAAGAAAACACCTCAAATTCATACCAAATTACTTACTGTTTGGCAAAGAAAGTGTTAAACTTGACAAATGTACACGGAAAAAATTAGTGTTCAAGTCAGATTTCCTTTTGATAACTCATATTAGTGAATTGCTACAGTGTTTTGGACACTTGCTGAATCTTAGTTTTATTAAGTTATCTGCAGTACTTTGTTTAGATTTTATTTACTTTGAAAACCCAATCACAGTATAAAAAAAAACCAATCAGCAATATCAAAACTGGTCTCAGGAAATAAGAGAAAGAATCTTTTCTAGTTACTTGTTTTTATTCTGTTACTTGTTTTTATTTTCCCTGTGTGGTCAGGGCAATCAAGGATATACCGGATCAAACAATAGGATGTGCATGGCAGATTTGTTGATTTATGAAGCGACAACATGCAACCAGATGAACCATCAAGTATGCAAGAAAGTGTGCCGAGTTCAAGTACGAGGACAGGAAAATGTCCTCTCGTTCAAATATTGTAATTGTTGGAAGATAGCCATTAATCTTTTCCATGTGTAAGAATTGAGGAACAAGTACAAATAAGTACAACTGCAGTATGTGATTTAGAGTATGAATGAAGCTTCGAGTTGTCATTATTTTATCGTTTTTTGTTAGTTTGTTTGTTGGGTTGTTTGTTTGTTTTTAATTTAGCATGAATGTGAGTAATGTAATGGGTGAATGTATACTAATGAATACATTTTGATAAGTTAAAATGAGCACAGAAAAGTACAAGAATGTGTTCAATTTAAAAAAAAAAATGTATGAGTTCTCCAATGCTTGGGTTTTACACATACACATAGTAGGTTCATTGTGATGAGAACAAGTATTGACAACACCGTTGAAATAGCTCTTTACAGCTCTGTTGCTCTCTGTTTTAAATATGCGCATAATTACCTCATCCACATCCGATTTATTGAGAAGAAAGACTTGTCCTGAGCTGGTAGCAGCGATCTGTTCATAGGCTTTGAAACCAGGGTGAGAATGGTTACCACAATCACCCGTCATGACAAACACAACCTGACGAAGAAAAAGGGAATACCAGTTGTACTTCCAAAATTGGAAAAAAGGGGCTAACATACGTAGGAGGAAAACAATCTTGGGGTCTACTCTGACACAAATCAGAATGGGAGAGAGTTGTGGGCGAGACAAACTATTGGAGTGACATTGCCCCTTGTGCTCTCTGAAGACCTGCACATAAATGGTCTAGAGGTTCTGCATATTAGTTTGGATTCTTTATATTTTAGTTAGTCAGGTAATCAAATACTTGTATCAAACAGATCTATTTGTAGGTGCACACATAATATTTACAAAGCTGAACAAAGAAATTGATAGAAGCAGCATTTGTACCTAAAAGTAAAGATTACCAACTTAAGTGTAGCTATCAAGCTCTATGTTGACAATTTCTCAATGTGAGGCAAACCTGCCAACACAGGGCTGGATCCGGAGGTCGAAGGTTTGAATCTTGCTCCCGTCAATTTCCTTGTTCAACGTTATAATTAATTTTCAGTCATTCAGTTTAGAATTTACAAAATTGTCTAACACTAAACCTTGACCCTCTGAAGTCAAACAATGGGAGACTTTTGAGACGCTTGGTGGCAGCAAAAACACCGATCCTCGTTTGTTTGCGTCATTGTGAGCATGCGCGCTTTAGCTTAAACATGACGTAAACAACTGAAAAGGACCGGTGTGTTTGCTGCCACCAACATCTCAAAAGTCTCCCATTGCACGATTTCAGTTCAGTCGTAGATGTTAAGTAACACCAACTTGGCTGATCCAAAACCACAACACTTTCTTTATTTGAGATCTCAAAAAAGAAAAAAGGCATTATCTACGTGTAGTCCTAAGTCAGACATGTCCAGCAACCACAGAATTACTTCTTTGCCCGACAATAAGACTGTCTTCCGGTTTCGGGGCAATCTAAGGAAAAATGCCAAGGAAACCGTCGTTGGATTCCCGACTACAGACGGCTTCCTCTTGTCCGGAGTTTCTTGTTTCCTGTGCGTGACGGCACAGTCCTACAGTCAAGGGTTCACCACAAGAACTCAATCGCTTACATGTGTGATCAGCCCTCATTAACGTGATAAGCTGGTTATCTTGTCTGAAAATACTCCGGATCAAGGTTTGTAGCACGGACTGTCTGCCCGTAAAGTAACACCCTTTCAGAATGGTGTTCCGAACTTCATAATCTTTGGAATAATATATTTTGGTTCAAGTCTGGAAAACCCAGGGGTAATATTCTCAATGCTAAGAAATCATCCATTCTGAGGGATGTTTTGAGTCCACATTGGATGGTTGTCTCGACCCTTGTTAAAATGACACCAATAACAACTCAGTGAATACTCAAGCATGCGAGTAATCGGATTAGAAAATATCTTTTAAAAATTTCAGAATTCAACTTCTGTGACTTACAATGCTTTTGTCTGCAATAAGATTGCATCACCCTCAACAAAATGTGTTTTTCACTGCCAGCTGACCAGGTCACTGACCTCAAAAATGACAAAGGTCGTTGACCTTACCTGACTCTCCTTTTCTTGGATGGTTTTCAAGACTTCGTTGACCAGGTGGTAATCCTTGGACCGAGCGTCGGTGAAGACATAGATGAAGGATCCCGGTAAGCTCATCTGTAAGGCCTGGAGGATGGCCCCTATACTCGCCTCCGGACAGTCTCCGCCCCCGCTCACGTAAACACTGCGGAGTTTGTCCACGAATTTGTCCGGGTCCGTCGTGATGGTGGCCGGCCCGATGTCTGCAGAAAGGACAAAACATCAAGATATCAAAGTTATAAAATAAACAGCAACTGGAAACTAAACTGGGTTCAATCAAGTACCTCCTACCAGGGAGAGTCGGAGGAACATTTGCAGAATGGTCCAGTGGTTATGGTGCTCGACTCATGTACGACGGTACATGAGTTCGAACCCTGCCAGGAACACAGTGTTTGTGGCCTTAGGCGCGACACTTGACTACATTTGCCTCTCTCCAGGGTAGAGGACCGAATGTGCGCTGATATTGGCTGCCCATGGTCTCATGGCCTGATGAACGGGGGAATAATTGTAAAGCGCTTTGACTTTGTTGATATACGATGGAATGTGCTATATAAGCATTACAATTTTATTTTGTGTATGTTTTGTTTAAACGCATAAATGAAGACGCCACGCTTTCTGCACATTTTGAATTGCACTTAGCCAAGTGTACTTTATGCCGAACGCAGGCATGTAGAGCTCTCAACAGCGGATGCAAAGCACCATCCACTCTCTGGGCACAGTGAGCAGAGAAATTTTTACTGGAGGGGTTTGAACCTGCAACTCCAGGAATCCTGTACCTGTACTCTACCAACCAATAGATCAAGCTCACAGAATTACTTTACATGTATAATATTTCAACGATGATGAATATTATCCCTTTATATAACCCAAAGCCCTGGAAAACCACTGGAGATGAAGGCTACTAGAGGGGAAAGAAAAAGAAATCTCAGGAAAAAAAAAATTGGAATTACAAAGAAGAAGGGCAGCTATCTCATGACTTGTCAAGGCAACATCAATTCAACCATGACTTTGAACAGGTTTACAGCACACAAACACCTTAAGGGCAGTAGATTTGAATTTGTTGTCAAATCAGCTCAGCAGATGGGAAAAAAATACTGGCAATGTGAGAGAATTCTATTCAAAAGGTATCCTCATCGCGTGTTGGTTACATTTCAGTCATCTTTACCAACATTTGCAAAAGGTTCTTTCATATTTATTGTTCTTCCATTGGAAATGGAATGGTTGTTCCATTGCTATTGTTTAGAACACTAACAGGTGTAATATCAATTTGTGATGGTGAAATCCTTTAATTTGACCCCATTGGTATAAGGTCATTGAGTGTGAGGGTGTCTTTCATTTCCTGGGTAAAGAATCACTCCCTTTACACATGTACACTAAAATTATATTGCAAATTGTGGTTTCGAATACCATGGAGCTCTTTGTTGACGTGACTCACGTACTATAAACAAGGATGAAAACACCTGTTTTCATAATTGATTGCTTAATGCAAACCCACGTCATGATTTTATCTAATCAAATGTTTCCTTTGTAACATTCACCCAGCTATGTTCTTTCTGCGGATAACACAACTTCAAAATTCATTCTGTTTGTTTTGCAAATCTCTGCAATGAGATTTTGATATTTTGACGGCATGAGGTTTTAAAACTCTAAAAACAAAAATGGTTTGCCGAATCGGTGTTGAAGTAAAAAGTGCACGTTACTCTTTTTTCTTGCGGTATCAACTTTGCAGGTTATTTGCTTTGGGTTTCAGCCAAGCTAAACTTCAACAGATCTATTAGCCCAATACCATGGCAACGTCAACATAATTCTTGGAGTTTCGTGACAAAGTATACAACTGGCTCTAACCACACTGCCGGGGCAGGGGCCGGCGGGGCCAAACGGATTCATTTTTCACGGTTCGACGGCTCAACCTCCTGTCAAAAAACGACAACAAAAACACAGCTAGAAACAGGAACTTAGAACAAGGTCAAAAAAGTAGGAGTGTATCTACTATCTTTGTCACTGGTATGGCGCTGTTTTGACTTCGGGGAATGAAGAATTTGGCATGATTTGGCGAGGTGTGTGGCAAGCACTCAGCCATTAGCCTTTTTGAGATATGGTGAAGTACCCGGGGTAATGTAGGAGGGTGCTATTTAGAGTGGGAATTTGGGAAACCTCTTTCGTATTTGCCCATTTTTACCCAAACCAAACAGCGCCCTCCGTTACAATACAGCTCATTTTGTGTTATGCATTGTTTAAACCCATATGCACATTTTCAGGAGTTTTTGTATGTTGAGTACATTTGTAATTCAACCTACACTTGAGAATAGGCCTAAATATTAAGAAGCTTGTTTGGATCGTCTTTTTGACATGATTTTGACCAAGTGCAAATGTGATTTTGGGAAAGAATGCTGCACCCTGACGCCACTTTTTTCATAATGTATTACCTCAATGAAGGTGAGTCATGGCAAAAATGTTTAAAAAACATGAATAAGGGACTGAGTGAGAAACATTTCCAATTTTGTTACTGTTAGAAAATACTTTGAAAAATGCATTCAACTCTCTGTAGACTTTGTACACAACCAAAGGAGTGGTGTCTGGATACTACATTCTTTCCTGATTTTGTTCTCAACATTTTATTTGAAAGGGGTTTGATCGCCAACCCTCCCTCTTTGGCTTCTTATGACCGGCAGGCTACAGACAGCCCAATCCCCAACCCAATTCCAATCCTATAAACACAGACATGGCGTATTAACTCCGCTGTAAACATTTCATCCCAGACAATGGCTGAGATTCCACGATGATTTACTTCTGAGAAAGAATCTCAGTCTTCCATGGTTTCTGTCAATCTGGTTACACATGTCTGTTTTTGTAAACCACTTGTTGTTGAGCCATTTGTTAGGCTTATCTGCAAGTACGGTAGTCTACACTGGGGTTATCTATTTGATTTGGCGGCACTATGATGTTGCCTTGGGGTGGAGCACTTTCAGTTGCCCAGGAGTTGGGCACTACAAGACCTTTCCACGCTCCTGAGGCTGAATTTGTACCAAAACATTTTTTTTTCTCCTCAAAAAACTTAGGGCCTACATCAAGAACCATGGCTGAAATGTCTCAAACTGGATCAGATGTTCCAACTCGGACAAATGTATCTGTTTCTACAGATTTTTAACTATGTCATTTCAATCAACACGGGATCATTGTACTAAAACTAGACATGCTACAAAGAAGTCACACAGGAAAACAAGACAACAAAATTTCCTGTTTTATGGGATGTAACATTTTTTTTCAATTTCAATGGCATACAGGAGAAGTTTTTAAAAAAAGTGCAACAAGAAAATCGGCTTGTTTGCGGAAAAGTAGCATGCCTGTAGAAGTCAGAAGAGAGAAATTACAACTTCACTACATGTAGGCCTATGTCAGACCAACATACTTTCAAGTTGGTGTCGGATCGAAACAAAGGCCTACATGTATTTTTCGGTCCAAGCGACATGTTTTTTTTTTGTCACTAAGGCTTACCCACAATTGTTTTGTATCCTTACAATGATTTGCTCATAGATCAGACCAATCAGTTCCTATCGACAGTCCTTGCATAAATCAGGCATGCAACTAGGAATTTAGAAAAAACGAGGATACTCCAAACCCAACAAGACTTTGTACAGTGTTTTTCAATTTGTAATGGCATTTATGAGAAGTAAAAAACAAGAAAATCAGTGGATCCAAGGAATAGTTGCATGCCTGATCAATAGAAAACCCATCTTTCCTAAAGAGATTCTAATATTTGATTTAATATTTTATTATCGTCCTTACATTTTGCTCCAAGCTATAAAGCCCAATTTTCACAACTTTTTTTTCTGAAGTTTTTGCTCAGCCATGCATAAATATAGGCCTGGATTATGCTTGAAATCCTCCGTACTGCTCCAGGATGTCACTGGCCAAGCCTCAACATATTGACAGTCACTGCCGCAGGATTTTGCAGGATTCAGGCAGTGGTCACCCCTCCATGGACCATATTCAAGAAATAATGGAGGATTTTGCAGGATTGAGGCTACATCCTAGCAGAAACGCCAAGGGAGTTAGGGTTTGAAGAAATAAGAAGCATTTACCAAAGTTGTAAATCTTCAATCAAACGCAAAGCAGCACTAATCTTTTTGAGAATTGTGAGACAGAATATGACAGATTGATCTGAGGACAAAGGTTAGAATTTAAGGCATTTACTACGCCAAAATAATGATCATAAGTTTCGGGCAATGGGCCAAACGACATCACCCGGTGCTTGTTTCGGATCGACTTTCAATTGGTTGGCAAACGTGTTGGTATGTACTTTCAAACCTGAAGCCCTTAGAGGATTAACTGATTGAGATTGGTCCTAGAAGTTTCGGAGACTCACGTTTGGAACTTCAAGAAAGAGTATTCAAAACTTTATTTTTTGAGACACTACCTTTCCGCAAGAACTTCACCCAAACTTTCTGCTACTCACTCAGTCAGATATTACGTTGTAACTTGTGCAGGTGGATTTTGGATGCAATTTTGCTCCAGGATGTTGTCAAGTTTGAATATTTGGTTTTGTCCTTTATGGATGTAGGTTTTTAAGCAATCCTTGCGTTTTTTATGTGCAGGCAGATTGTGGATGCAATTTTGCTTCAGGATGATGTCAAGTTTGAATATTTGGTTTTGTCCTTTATGGATGTACATGTAGGTTTTGAAGTAATCCCTGCGTTTTCCCTGTGCATGCAGATTTTGGATGCAATATTTCTTCAGGATGATGTCAAGATTGAATATTTGGTTTTTTCCCTTGTGGATGTAGGTTTTGAAGTAATCCCTGCGTTTTCCCTCTGCATGCAGATTTTGAAGCAATTTTGCTTCAGGATGTTGTCAAGTTTGAATATTTGGTTTTGTCCCATATTGATGTAGGTTTTTAAGCAATCCCTGCGTTTTCCAAGAGCTTGTGAAATATTTTCACAAGCTGACTTGGGTGGGACTCGAACCCATGACGTCCTGAGCTTGGTAGTAATGTGCATGGTGTGTGCTCCATTACGATGGACCCAGGAATGACTACGTATAAACCTGCCAATCATGGGTAACAATGTTATGAGACGTATTTGAGAGGCACTTTGATTTTTTTGGCTGTTGCTGTTATGTTACGGGCTGTACTACTATCAGTGTTTCATTCATTTGACAGACAAAACAGTGCAGTTTAGGAGAGAGGAAGTGCTTGTTTTTGCTG